ATACAGCGCGATTGAAAAGTTGCCCACAAAAGCAACGGGACCACCAGACGGTAGTGCGTGTGTTTACCTGAATTGCAAAACCTTTATTCCTGCTTATTTTACACAATTGTTTGCACGTAGAGCAGCAAAGTTCAGATTGAAAACTACAGAACAATAGCAGTCGTGGTGCTGTTAGGCATAAAGACTAAACTGGCATGCGCGGAGACTGGGGCTATTTTACGACTTCAACGATTTTGCTGTCGTTAGCTATATAGTGTATTTCTATAATGCCGATGCTTCAATTGACGACGCATACAATTTGATATTGACACAGTCGCCTCATACTAAAATTACTTAATCACAGGGACCAGCTTGATTCCAAAGCCTAGCAGTGCGTAAGATTATTGGGATTCACCGCAAGTTGCAATCTAGAGGAATCTAGAGGAATATTAAACCCAGAAAGTATTTGAGTTTATTTGTTTCTGTTCCATTAAAGTTGGTGCACACGGCTGACAGGAAGGTGTTAATGGAGATGACTGGGGTTTAGGCTGAGGACGCCGGTGAAAGGAGCTGAGCTGCGTTGTCCAGGTGTCCCGGATTGTTTACGCGTGCACCTATGTTTGACACCCTGGGAGTGTTAAATATCAGTGGTCAGTTTGGCCAGAATACCAGACACTGACCAGTCAGTTATGTACGTGTATACACTGGCCACCTTGAACTGTGACATTACGTTGTGGACATCTGTGCTGTAAGTTTTTGTTTTTGTGTCCTTCAGTGAGAGCTGATGTATTAATGTCATAATATTGGTAGGCTTTAAATGGACACTGAATTTAATTTAGGTCAGTCTAACAAGTGACAGAGAGAGAGAGAGAGCTCGGTTTATGGGACTCCAGGCAGAGGATTGGGCTGTTGCAAACCCATTTACATCTATATAGATACTGTGCACATTACTGCATTCTACAAGCGTTGCACAGTACTTATCAGGAAGTAAATATTGAATGAATCCTTCCAGTTCTGACTGAGCGTCGGCTCGGTATGCAAATATCCACGGACTATATTTAAAAGCGACATTGACCACAAAGCCATGCGTGAAAAACTGGAACGCTTACACATATGTTAACCTGGGCAAATGTCAATTTGTGAACTAGTCGGCTTGAACAGGAGTGGGGTTTACCGCGGCCTATTCGATGATTTTGCAACGAACAAGGGCCCAACAAACGAACCTCGTCTTAGCAATGGCAAGCTCGTTCGAATGTTTCCATCTTGAATACCGACAGAAGCAGACCCACCATTTAAAAGGAAAAATAAGTCAGCTTAGCGCCCATGGATCAATAGCAGTAACTTTGGTCTTGCATGGACGTTGAGAGTTCAAACAAACATTCTCGATCAAACTGTTCTTATATCTTGACGGGGAAACTGATAATTTTGGTTATCACTGAGAAAAAGAATTTCTGGCGCTGAGTGACGGGCTAGAATCTCAGTGACGTCAGAGGTTACGTCATTAACGAGGTGATGAATCAGGCAGGCGACAAATTCATGGACGGTATGAATGAGAATTTCTCTTCCATTGCAATGTCATCGGAAGAACCCGAAACCGTCATTGCTTCTTCTGCTACGACTGAACGCAAACCAGGATGTGTCTCACAAGATGAGGGGACAAAAAACGAAGATCGCCAGACCTTTGAGACTAAAAAAGAATCTAAGGAGGGTAGTATAATGTCTAACTTTTTACAGCCATTCAAAAATGCGTTTGTTGTTCACTCCGCTCCTCCTCTTTTTCATAAGTGGCCACGAGCGAAAAAGAACTCGCAGTTTGCAAAGGATTTCGCATCGGAAAAGAGACAATCAAAAAATGGCTCCGATGAAAAAATTAGGAAAAAGCAACGACAGTCAGAGGCGACGGGTGACATCCACTCAGCGAGAGAGTCTGACTCTAGTTTAACTAAAAAGACGTTACCACCGCTAAAACTGACCCGATCAAGAATACACCCACAGTCTTATGTCGAAGAGGACAAAACAAATCAAAGCACATCCGATGATTGATTTTATTTTTTAATCGAATGATGAACATTGTCTTTAGTAATTCAGAGAAGAATTTTTAGAACATTGTCTAATAAGCTTTTATAGTTATTCCGTCCTGGTAATGTTATTCCGTCCTGTCAAAGGTTTGCGCTTTATTGGAAGTTACTTTGCTGCAATTGTGTTTAAGAACTATGTCATGAATACTTTGGTATTAAGGGCTGTCTGTGATTCAATTATCAAGTAATGTGACGTCATACTTCAGCTTGCTCAAAGAATATGACGTGATAGATGACGTTCTATAGTCAGGTAGCCTGCCCTAAATTTAGACATACATGTAGGTTCGTACTTTGAAGTTAGCAAATCAGTAAATACTAGTATCTGCAGCCTAACTTGTTCATGGCCGCTCCTCCTCTTACTGCGCTGGTGTTCCATTTTTTAACGTGAATTTTAAAGGACAGAAAGACCATAGCGTCTTTTTGATGTCCATAAAATATAATGTTATTGTAAAGAAATGCCGACAACCAACTTGTATACCGGTATTACGAAAAGTATTCTTTTTGAAATTTTATGCTTAAAGAGTGCCAAAAGATATTATTATTATTATTATTATTATTATTATTATTATTATTATTATATTGACTTTTAATCAGCTTTTTTGTTATTTCGAGGAATAAAGATCCGTGAAGATGCATGGCATTAGACAATATGGTGGGCGGTTAGCTCGAGTCAATACAAACAGTGTCATGCCACCAATTACTTTATGTTAATGATATGCCATCCATGCCCATGTTTTTTAAATTTATTTAGTTATTTATTGCCTATAATCAAGATTTTTAAGCATATATTTTGCTATGTTGAAGTTTGCACGGCTGTACAGGGATATGTCTGTGATTGGAAATGTTAGACTGGAATTTTACCGTAAATACATACTTTACAGTGATAGCAAGTATATTTTTGGTGAGATCATATAGACAACTTCCCAAATAAAACGCTTGTATTGTATGAAGAATTTGAAATTGATCCGGGGAAAGATTATCAACTGATAAAAGTCGATGATATTTATCACAAAATGTAAGAAATTTTCTTTTTTTGTGTGCCAAAATAAAAATATGTATATGCAATATATTAGTTTTATTAGGTGTTAAAACATCTTTAAAAGTCTTTAAAATTTTCAAAAAGATCAAACCAAATGAGTAAGTAAAAAATCTTCTATTTGAGAGATTATAACGAGAAGATATGAAATGTGAAGTTAACCTTGAACTTAAATAAGTATGATAAATTCGCTTAAAGATTCGTTTTCCTGAAAGATTCTCTTTTCTGAAGACATCTATTTAGAAATCTTTAGAAGTGATGCTATTTCCATGTTTGAAAGATGAAACATTTAGGATAGTCGAAATTAATGTTAATCACATACAAAGCCCGTATACTCAAGCTGTAGCTTTTTTTACCATACAAGTCGATACATGATTTTGTATATGTTTTCAAATTGTGGGAAAATTTAGTAAAAGGTAAATCCTTCTTTTTATAGCGATGGATTTTACAAAGTTATTCCATGTGTTATCTATCGCTGGTTGCAATAAATAAACCAGAAGTATCTTTCAATTTCAAGATAAAGGATTTGTTTATAGTAGCGAAGAAATAAGAGTCATGTGGGCACGTTCGAGGATCTTGAGGTGGTTTTTAGGGGAAAATGCCTCTGAAAATATGGGGCTATGTTTTTATGTAAACAGCACCTGGTGGCAAAAAAATATCACCTATTTTACCGTCCTCATGATCTTTATGCAAGCGTAGCCTATTGTGCTCGAATCAAGCCTTTATTCAACTGCCTTGGTCAATATATGTTAGTAAGCCCTTTTCTTCTACAGTAAAGTTTGCTGAAACATAAGAAGGAGGAAAAAAATCTTTGCTTATGACGTATGAAAAAATACCCCTAGTGGCGCATTTCTAAAGCGTAATCTACACCCTTTGACGCGAAAAAATAATAGCGATTGCATTGTCTCCATCTACAAGAAAGTTGACCTCATACGGTTTATATTGAGACATGACGACAACACAGTTGGGCTCCAGCTAAACAGATGTTTTTTTTTAAATCAAAATATGACAATTTTAAAGAATATTCAGTACAGATTTCTCTTGACGTGGCTGATATTTATATGTAGAGGTAAGTAGGACATGGTTTAGTTAACATTTTCGGCATGAAGAAAACAAGAAGTAAAAGAAAACAATGAAAGTAAAAAGTGTCGAGTTCCGAGAGACGCCATTTTGAGAGGATGGATCTCTCTCTCTCTCTCTCTCTCGGTGTAATCAAATAGTGAGAGCAAGCTAAATGTATTTGTTTTGAGCAATGGATTAGATAGGCATATAGACAGAGATAGAGGCTTCACACAGTCTTCCTGCCATTCCAATTTCTTTGATACATTTACTTCTTTTTTATTATTACATAGAGGTGCTCGCTGAACGCCCAACCATGAGAATGGCGGTCACAGCAACCTTCTGTAATGTCTCTTGCCCAGAGAATCCATCAACTGATCTGGAACCTTCGTTTTATACAATGATGAAAGGGGTCAAGTGGGACACGGTGGCAAATTGTACCCAACATAACTGCAGTTACACGTATGTCAATGCAACTTGTAGGACAAATGGAGATGGGCGAAGAAAAAGAAATATTAAAATTATGGTAAAGGATGCGAAACAAAGACGGAGATATTTGATTGGAAAGAAATACTGGCCTTCAAATTTACATTACAGAGAAAAAAGAGAGACTTCCAAGAAAATGAATACGAATTGTAGTGATTATGAAATTGGTGTAAACTTCACTATAAATGTGCAACTCATCGAAGGAAATTACAGTGACGCTGACACTGCAGCTAAATCAACTCTCGTTTCTCTGAAGAAAAATTTGTCAGGTGCTATCGAATATTATCATCTCCCATACGGTGGGTCCCAACTGTCGCTGCTAATATTTTCTTACCTATGTCCGTCAGAACCAACTTGTCCGAATGGATCAGTCATCAACGTAACGTCAGTCACATGCGGTTAGTACTTTATGTGACGTCATCGGTGTTAAATTATTTATCTGTTTATTTCCAATTCTCTACAGTTTTTGCAGAAAATAAACATCATAATTTTGTCGGCGCCGTTTTGTACAAAAACATATTATAAATTAATAGTCATTATCTTAATAAATAAATAAAAGGAAATACGCCTCTCATGCGTTCAAGGGCCTATATTACATGTATCTATTTTCAAAGACAACATTTTACGAAACACCTGTTGAGTTTACTGATATATTTACAAATAAAACAACGCCGGTATGCTGACTGCTCTTATTCTAACACTAAACTCCTACTTTCAGATTTCTGTCCAGAAGGTAGTTTCCATAATCTGACCAATTCAAGGTGCCAACCCTGTGCCATTGGTCAGTATCAGCCGGAAAAAGGCCAGTTGCAGTGCGTGCAGTGTCCACCGTGGAAGTCCACTTTTACCGAAGGAACCACAGACGTTGACGGGTGCCACTGTAAGTTCTACTCTAAATATCGGTAATTAGCTAGTGGATGCCCTTTAGCAGATTTTAGCAGATTTGAGTTTTTTTTTTATTGTTTTCTAGTAACAAACCTGGTCCAGGAAAAATAAAGGTATACTTCTGTAGAGGGGGCGCTGTCGTTAGTTCAAAGGTTAAGCTTACCGTGTATGTAATGGGCAAATCGTCGCCGTACGAAAAAGAAATACGATGTGTTGACAAGGCGTCATTTACAATATAAACATAGTTATTGATCATCATTCTTTGAATTTTCGAAATTTTCGAAAAAAGTAGCTTTGGCCAAAATGAACAGTTGTTATCCCTTATAAAAGGAAATATAAAATACAGAAAAGAATTCACTAAAATTTTTTGACCATGTGTTAATTGCACTGATATAAATTGCCTGTCCAATGTACACTTTACATTTATACAGCTTGACCCCCACCTCTCAAAAAAAAAAAAAAAAAAAAAAAAAATGAATAAAAAACAAAGAAATAGAATCAGTAAGATTTTTATTAAATCCTACAAAGTTCAAGCAAATTTCAAGAAATGTGCTCGACTTATTTATTCATGGCCGCTTGTTAATTTGGTGATTCTAGATACTGAGGCTACGATGAAGATGGCCATGCTGCTCCAGTACGGGATACAACACTGCCCCGAAGAAGACAATTCCACCGCCTTTAAATACATCAAGGACCAATTTGTACAATTAATGGGCAATTATAGTTTTCATTGTCCTGATAATGAGTGTGGCTACGAGGTGAAGTCAGTTAACTGCACAAGTCTTAACCAAAAAAATGTACTTAAGATACATTTTTATATTTTAACTCAACTCGGCGCCAACTCTTCACCGAACGAGACGGCGGCGAGAATGGCAGCGACTCTAACGTTGACAAGAATCCGTACAAATTTGACAAATTCACTTGAAGATAAACTGACTTTGATAGGTAAAGTCCACGGCTTAAGCCAACTAACAGAGGGGAAAATCGTTGTTCATTACAACATTACCGAACCAGAGTGCCCCGCCGGAACAGTACTAAATACAACAGGATGGGCATGTGGTAAGTTTACTTCATAGACATAAACTGGGCATTCAGCAAAAGTTGTAATACTCACACGAGGATATTGCCATGAAAAATTTATTGGGATGATATATAGATTCATTTTGTTTATCATTTAGTAAAAATACATTTTACAAACTTTGAAAAAGGTCCTGGTTGGTAATACTTCAGTCTAGTGTGTAAATTAAAACATTTGAGATAGAGAATTTCCTTTGATATCAATCAAAACAATTATAGCCAAGATTATACAAATTTATACACCGTGAATTAAAAAAAAAACTTTCATCATTTAGAACCTTGTGACCGAGGCCACTACTTTAATGTGACGTCATTGCGATGTGACGTATGTTTTCGTGGGTCATACCAAGACAGTCGCGGCCAAACAATCTGTCACAATTGTCCATCAGGAACGTCAACCTCCCATACTGGGGCAATTAACTTCAGAGAGTGTATCCGTAGGTGTCGCTTGTAATACTTGTATCTTTGAGAGAGTTTTTTCAGTTTAATTAAAACATCTGAGTTGCTGTAACGTTTGTTGATGACATAACTCAGTATCGTATATATCATAAAACACATATATTATTAACACATATATTATTAAAACACTTTTATTAAAAAAAAAAACAATTATTAATCATTTTTGTCCAAAATTTTAAACCTGAAATGGTGCCTGCTATTTGACACGCAATAAAAACTGGGTCGACTCCTTTGTGACAGAAGACTTAAGCTTGCCTGAACGATGATTAAAGATTTCAATTGAAGTATTTAAACCTTTGTTCGAGATGCATTTAATTTTATTTCAGATGAGAACGCCATTACTTCTACTACAGATCTGACCACGACGCGAGAAATGTTGACGTCCAGTCCTTCTGCCGTTTCATCCATCGGAAGTACCCAATATCAATCCACCCCTGCTGAAGACGGTACAACTTCCGTAATTTCACCTTCCACTGGGAAAAGTAGTACCGCTGTGACCAATTTGACGAGTACAAACCCCCCCGGCAGGACCTCAGCGGCCAGTATTCCGTGTGTATCTATGCCAGGTACGACTGCATGCAATTCCAGTGGTGTGCAGACGACCCCAGATCCAAATATCCATCTTATTGGGCTGATGAACGCCATTGTGGTCCACTTTAAAATCGAAACATCTACCCAGGTAGCATTTAGTCTCTCTCTCTCTCTCTCTCTCTCTCTCTCTTCTTTTCTTGAATTAGAAACTCATAGTAACTTTGTGCATCAAAACAAGACGTAAATCAAAATTGCAATTAACGTAAACAATGTACATGTCAAATTTCATATATTAATATTTGTAAATGTATCCAATTATGGGGGGCAATTAGAGAGGAAAAGTCCCATCATACTGCATATTTCATATGTTTCAGGACCCATCTGGTAAAATTGCTTTGTTCAAAATTTACGCAGTTGCTGTGTGCAGGTCATATTGCAGGAATCACGACTGCGAGAGATTTAGGTTACGACCAAGGTTTGTGTGATTTTTACCCTGCTCGGTTTGCTGTATTCATAAGTGAACATGCATTCCCCGAATATTGTAACGATTTTACATAGCTTAAACTCATGGAAAATTTACTGCTGTAAGCTACAGCCTTTTGTTTACATTCGGCTAGTGTGCTGTTGAACTTTGAACCTTAAGTTGGAATGGCTTGTAAGTGGTATCAGTTTACTAACGAGGGGATTGCGGTGTCCAGTAGAGGGGTTGGCGGTCAACCATTCAAGGCCGTCCACTTTTCCTCTGCCTGCCAGTCAAAGTAGCAGTGAACCATTCAAGGCCGTCCACTTTTGAAATGTATAAATACAGCTGCTCTATGCAGTGTTGAGCACTTAGTTTCACAACTTAGTTTGAGTTAGTTTCACAGTATAGTTCCAGTAAGTTTATTGTAGTTGAGCTGCAGTTGTTTAAGTTAGAAGTACAGCAGTACAGCAAGATAACCAGAGACAGTGTTTAGTAAAAGATACAGAAACATATACATTTGACTTGAGAATTATTCTTAGAAATAAAGATTTACAAAACAGAAACCTGTTTTGTTGGTGGCAGCGATTTCGTTCATTCTTCAAAAGAACAAAGAGAACCGTACACTGGTGGCAGAATAGCGAGACCATTACAATATCAATGGAAATATTTGTTACAATTTTTTCTTTTGTCGGTAGTGTTTCAGTTCCCGCGAAAGGAGGAAAATACTTCTTGAAAAAAATTTTAATTTTTCGGAAAATAAATTTTCATTGCTTCTTGCGTACTGATGAAAAAAAGTAAATCGTACAAAAAACAGTTTAAGGAAGGGGCATAACCCATTTCACTTTAATTATTTATATTTATTTTTAATCTTTATCATTTTGACTATTTGTCTTTTCAGGCGGGCGTTGCCATCTTCGTTCTATTCAAGTGACGTGCACGTTCTTCCCCAGTTTCAGCAACTAAACGGCAGCAACGTCACGCTTGCGTTTTACGTCACTTACCCCCAAAGTGATTCGGTCATGAATGGGACTCTGCTGCTGAGTATTTTTACAGCTGAACATTCAGAATCGCAAAGGCATATTGCCAACATTACCATCTTAGACGCTAGTCCGTGCTATTGCTCAAACGACTCTATAATCTCTAAAGTATTGACGTCAACAGAAACTCCAGTCCAGTCCAGTATTCCCGCTATGGTCGTGGCTGTGACTGTTCCAATAATTGTGGTGATTGCAATCATAGGGATCTTCATCTTTTTAAAAAAGTATGCTTTTTTTCCGTTTCGACCACGGAATGCCTTGTCCTTTCTTATATTAAACTATAGTTTAAGGAAATATAACTGTAATGAGATTCGCAAAGGGGCCATTGGTTTCAAGTATAGGATCTTGAAAGAATGAAAGAATCGTAGTTGAGACGGTGAGAGCATATTTTCAGTCATATGGCAACTGGCTGCGCGTAGGAAGATATTCAGAACGGAGCGCGTGCGCTGAGATGACGTCGCGATTGAAATTTTGTAAATTTCGCAACCAGCGCGGAAATTAAAGAATTGTACTTTATTACCTCTGAAGGTGCTTATGAAAAATTAAGGCATGGTAGCAGAGTTTATCACGCGTCTTTAGGTGTGAGATTTACCCAGAATCAAAGTGAAATGAGGGAAATATAACTCGACAAAGTCGGCCAACATGCCGATTATTATCCATAGCAACACCGTAACATTTTGAGATAGCTCCTATCACAGAGAGTGTGCACCTTATTCCAGTCGATAGAAGATGACTTTTAATACGCAAAATAAACCTACCAAGTTTCATAAGAATTTTTTCTGGCAACTTTTTTTGCCAGCTGCTGAAGTGCGTTTTTGGCCCTATTCCGCTAGATGTCAGCCATATTCTGACGTCATTTTTTCCAATACAGAAGCAAGTGAAGGTCTGCTGACTTTTTCAAATATCGAAAATCAAAGTACTTATCTTTTATTTCAGTAACAAACTATATTTCCAATAATTATAATAAAAAACCAATGTGTTAAAATAACTTTTACCTTCTCGGATGTCTTAATTCAAAACGACGGTTTTTATCATTATCGCACCTGCAGTTCTGCGCTGGCGATGAGAGTTCTTCATGAAATTTGTCGTCATACAGCAGTCTGCACAATTTTGAATGAAAAATCGAGTTAGCATCAGAGTATCCAGTTTGTTCACCATTACGCACTAGGTCTCAAACTCTGTTGTTTATTTCCATTATCAAATTTCAGCAAACAAAACGACTTCAGAAATTTAGCACTGCACGCATCATTGACACATTTCCACTTGGTGTAGGGGAGTTCAGTTTGTAGCAGACACTTGGCATGACTTTTAATGGAAAAGGATCACTTAAAGTTGCATGAGAAGTAAACGATGTAAATCTTGATATTTTTTGCAAATACTCAATAGATTTAAAATCGTATTTGAAATTATTTATACAAAAATCTCAGTACATGTTACTGAGCTGTCCCCCTCAATTCTTTCTTCTACAAAAATGGACTGAGCCGCGCGCACACATTTGGAATGTGGCACTGATATCTTTGATACAATTTGGATACTTTTTGGAGATTTGCACATGGGTCAACCAAGTACGCTTTCCATCGGAAACTTTGTTTACAAATTTTTCACTGCATGGAATGAACAGTGCACGTTCTGGCAATGACACTTTATTTGTATCAGGACACATATATAACTCAAACGTATTTCCATTAGTAAAAGTGTGTCGTGAGACTCGTGATCGTAGAGTCCACTTATATTATTTTTCTAACAATTCCTAATTTTTAAGCTTGTATATTTTTTAATTTACTACATATATGTATTTCCTGCTGATCAAAGGAGAAACTATAAAGGACAAAGATACACTAACAACTCTTAAATTGGCGAGTTACACTCAGGATAAAAACTATCAAACATTGAATGTAAAGTTCAATTTCAGTTAAACAAAACTCAGAAATGCATAAATCTAAAGTCCTTTTTAATATAGTCTATCGCTTTCAGGCTTCTACTTGTATGTGTAACAAAAAAGTATCACTAATTTAATTGTGGTTTGATCATTTTTGAGAAGCTTGCGGTACAGTCAAAATAAGAAAACTGTTTTCTCTCATCCAATCTGCCATGAACAGGTCAAGTATGCCAGAAAACATATTGGCACATACAGGCAGAAAAGTTCTTCATCTGTGAATTCTGAAATAATGAGAAATAAAGAAGCTGACAATAATTGTAATGAAAAAATAACAATAAATAAAGAGCTAACAGAGCAATTTTAGAATACGCTAAGGTAGGTATACAGTGTACGTACGTATTACATATCATACCGGTACATGGTAAACCCATGGCATTATAAACTAAACATCATGAATTGCGTTTTACTTTAGAAGGCCTGCTTTACAAACGTTATCATAAACCAGAATTACCTTTGTTAAATGTTTGTCATCCTTTTCAGTTCTAGAGTTCAGCTACAACCCGCAACAGATCCACATTTATCCGCCTCTCTCACTTCTTTACACGTGTTCACTACAATTTGTTTACGCAAACCCTTAATACATATGTAGGTCAACATATAATCTCCTGCATAAATGATATTAGATTACGTAAATTCAAACCCTTTTCCTAAGGTAAGGCCCTTCAAAAATGATAAATTCTCATTAATAAAATCATACAAAAGTGGCCCAATATTCAAAATGCATATCCACAAGCACATGTTTGCCTTTTGCGTATCACGCCTCAAGAATAGGTGAAGGTCGTTCATAAAAATACTCACTGAAACTAGTTCAAACTGGATGTGTGCAATTCAGCATCGATTTCAGGTTAGTTTCAATTAAATGTGAATAAAATATGTAAACTTCAACGGTTTTTAAATAGAAAAATTTCATAGTTTGGCAGAGGTATCGAGAAGCGCCATTTTTTTCAAGATTTTTATTTGAATGTTGGATTAGGGAACCGTGTGACCATACTAGAGAGTGTGCAAACTATTCCCTTCAAAATCTTAAACTTTGGATGATATTTTAACTCATATCTAAAAATGAAAAAAATTCAGGCTGGCAACTTTTTTTCTCGCAATATAGTCCCACCCCCTACGAGAGTCATTTTGAAACCGATTTTTTTTCATAAATTCAAAATCGTGAACATATTTCATTTTAATTTGTGGATGTTTCAGTAATCCTTTGAAATCTTGAGTAAGAGCATGAACTTTTCTTATTATCTTTACAAAATCACAACTCAAAACGCCCTGGTTTGTTATTAAAAGGATTTTATTTGCAAGGTACGGTTTTTCACGTCAGCCATCGCAGATGTCCAGAAACGGCGCTACTTCGTGACGCGGACTCACTGAAAAGTTTCAAATAACCGCCATGACGTTACGTTTTTCAGCCAGTTGCCATATGACTGATGAAAAAAGAAAGGTCATTTCTAGACCCTGCCTGTATGCTTCAAAGAAGACCCCCCCTCAAAAAAATAGTAATGATAAATAAATAAATAAAAGTACATACATGTAGACTCTAGATATGTTCCTGCTGCCAGATAATATTAGCCAAAAGAAATGAGAAGGCCAAAGTAAGGAACAGAAAATCAAGAGAAAGCAAACGTTTAGAAAACGCAGCAATACATGTAGATCCTATGAGTGATACTGGTGGCTATGGGACACTATGAGTGCTACCAATAATCATGATGCCCAACAGGTACCTTCAATGTTTCTTTCATTATCAAGCTTCCAAGTAATTTAAAGGCAAAGGGCCTAAGGACGAGCTTAAACAAGGGCACATTAATTCATGGCATCTCTGAAAGCTGAAATGGTCAGATGGGCCCGTTTCACAAAGCCATTGTTAGTTAGAATAATTAATGACAGTACTATCTTACTAACTAGAAGACTTAGCCATATTTGAGGGGTGTTTCACGAAGCCATCATTAACCCATTGCTAAGTTCAGTCGTAAACAAATAATGGAAGAAAAAGAAAAGACCAAGAGAGCTCCTCCGTGTACAATCGAAGAGCTCGAGGCATTAGTAGTTGGCATATCTGAAAATAGAGAGGTGTTATTTTCAAAGTTTTACAATGTTGTGACTAATAACTTGAAGGAATTAAGACACCTAAAATATCCTTTTCTTTTTAAAAAAAACTCCTACTAGTAACCTTAAAATTACGTAACGGTCAATTCTCGGCACCATCCACAATGTCTGCCTAATAAATAATCGGCCGTCAATCAGTACATCCCGTCACAGAATACATGGAAATCTGATTAGTTTGATCTGCGACCAGTATTTTGCTATTGTCACTTCCCCAGGAGCAAACACAGTTTATTTTTGAAGTATGCTGAATAACATGTCTTTCAGAATCAGCAATAACCCACTCCAGATTGCCATCTTCTTGCTGATCCAAAAGAGTCCATATCCGTATCTGGCGGTCATTGCCACCAGAGATGAGCTTAGGGGCGTGGCCACCATCCCCCTGGGGGTCGGCCTTCCCAGATCCCTGGGGTGTGAAATACACTGAAGATACTCCCTGGGTGTGCCCATATAAAGTTTGCCCCACCTCTAGCTGCTTTTTACTGCTATTCATAATCTGTATTTTGCCATTTTCAAGTCCACATGCTGTGTGACTCCCATCTGGTGTTAAAGCAATTGAATGTATGAAGGGAGGGTTGATGAAGTATTCGGTGGCATTCTCCTTCTCATCCCCAATTTCCTGCATGTTAATCTTCTTGATTGCCCGTCCCCTGGAGAAATCCCAGTGGAGGAGATTACAGTCAAATCCACCACTTAGCAATTCCCATGATCTCTGAGGACGAAAACAAACAGAGGAGCAGATATTGGAGTGCTTGCATAGAGTCTTATAAACTTTCCTCTCTTGTAAATTCATCACCTTTATTGTATTGGCATCATCACAGGCAGCTAAAAAAGTTCCCTGTTCATTCACCGCGACTTGGTTCACTTCATCCTCGTTGACCTCAAACTGGTGAACAGGTGATGTCCCTGACCTTAAGTCATAAATGAATACCCCCTGCCCCACCGCTGAATATACCATGTTTTGATTTGTCTTCAAACTGCAAACCGATGCCACGTCTTCTTCTTGATTGGGGGAGCATATCTTAGTCACTGCCTTCCCCTCAGTGTTCCAAACAATGATCTCTCCCTGCTCTGCCCCAGAGACGAGCTGACCATCGGGATGGACGTCTAGACAGAGGACAGTTTCATTGTGGCCACTGAGATGTACCAGCGATTGCTGTGAGAGAGAGCTGGACATCCTCTGAAAATTTAATAATAATATCCTATGATTCTATTGACAAACTGGCAATCTAACAATCAAAAACCTTATGCAATCTCGGCGTTCCATGTTGCCTCAGTTTTCGGCCTTACAAGCTCACGGTACCCTTACCGCTGGTAAGGCCTCATAGCAGTATGTACAAAAACCTTGAGACACTTAAGTACCTCGAAATGTCCACGTTCTGACAATCTCTGTGGGTCCTCCGTTGTACCTTGTAATATGTATATCCAATTAAAAGTGTCTTCGTGTACCTTCAGGCACGATGTTCATAAAGTTTTGCTCTTTTTATTTCAGCTTCCTCCTGCACCGACACAACAGCACGCCATATTGTGGTACACTTGCGGAAAGGACGACCACCTTTTCAAGGTCGACCTCGAAATGGAGTTGACCTGTTTCATGTTTCCAATGTAAACTTTTAGCGCCCTCGGGTGACGAGTTGTGAAAAATGGTGTTTGGTCCATGTAGGCGACCTAGCTCCAGTTATAATGTTTTACAAGCATTTGGCCATCCATTTGCGCTTCTGTCGAATTTGGCCTACCTTTGCCTTAAAAGCTACATGAATAAATATTTGAGAAATTTTATAATTATAGTATTTTATAGCAATAAAAATATATTTAAAAATCATGTATTGTTTTATTTTTTATTATTAGTAGTATTATATTTTCGCCCTTAATCAAAAAACATACATGAATTACATTAAAAGGAAAAAACTTTTTACTTATTTTTTTTTATCAATTTCTTTATTTTTTTACTTATATTTCTTTATTTTGTTTATTTATTATTTTATGGATGACATGCTCGATCTCTGGTGTTCCGAACACTACTGGGAGAGGAAAAAAATAATAAAATAAAATAAAAATAAATAAATAAATTGCAGCTCAAGTCAAAAATACAAGACTGGAAATGAAAAATGAACCACAAAACAAATAGGCGTCATTCACTCTGGGATCACCAAAAAGTTATCATGCAGTCATTTGTTTCATTTTTGCATCACACAAACGACTTCAAGGCCTCTGTACACCTTAACCTCTTCCTCAAATGAAATGAAATAAAGACATTGATAAAAAAAACAAGTAAAAAGTTTTTTCCTTTTAATGTAATTCATGTATGTTTTTTGATTAAGGGCGAAAATATAATACTACTAATAATAAAAAATAAAACAATACATGATTTTTAAATATATTTTTATTGCTATAAAATACTATAATTATAAAATTTCTCAAATATTTATTCATGTAGCTTTTAAGGCAAAGGTAGGCCAAATTCGACAGAAGCGCAAATGGATGGCCAAATGCTTGTAAAACATTATAACTGGAGCTAGGTCGCCTACATGGACCAAACACCATTTTTCACAACTCGTCACCCGAGGGCGCTAAAAGTTTACATTGGAAACATGAAACAGGTCAACTCCATTTCGAGGTCGACCTTGAAAAGGTGGTCGTCCTTTCCGCAAGTGTACCACAATATGGCGTGCTGTTGTGTCGGTGCAGGAGGAAGCTGAAATAAAAAGAGCAAAACTTTATGAACATCGTGCCTGAAGGTACACGAAAACACTTTTAATTGGATATACATACTACAAGGTACAACGGAGGACCCACAGAGATTGTCAGAACGTGGACATTTCGAGGTACTTAAGTGTCTCAAGGTTTTTGTACATACTGCTATGAGGCCTTACCAGCGGTAAGGGTACCGTGAGCTTGTAAGGCCGAAAACTGAGGCAACGTTCCATGAGGGGCCCGTAGCTATAGTCTGAAGGTTCATTGGTCCGAATGTTCACTCTAAAACCTTCGGACCAACGAACCCTTGATTTAAAAAACTGATGAAAATGTCACGATTTTTCAGATCAATGAACCTTCGGACCAGTGAAACTTCGGACTATTGAGACGCCCCCTTCCACCCACAACACAAAACAGCCGATCAATGATTTACGACTTCTTACGAGAAAATTCCAATTATGTCCACATTTACAATGATTATTTCGACTAAATCAATCTGATACTTCAACACTTACCTAAATTGAGAGCCGATCAGGTTCTTACTGCCCTTTGCTTTTTAAAATATACACTTGCGTTCCAAAAGCGAAAGAAACAAGGTTTTCATTAAAAGGGAAATAAATTGCATCTACTGTACCGCACGTGGTGTCAATGCACAAGACAAGCTGAGGTCAAGAAGTGGGACTTAATTTCTGTATACATATATATACATAAAGATTAGGATATTTATACTGTTGAATGATTGACTAAAATCTGTGGGGATCAATTTGGCGTCAGTATAAGTGTCCTAATGTAAATATGCAGAATTGTTCATAAATAATATAGAAAAATAAGCTGAAAAGATTTTTCAGCTTTTGCCCCCACCTCATAAATTTGTTTCAGCGTTATCATATGTGACATGGCTAGAGAAGGTAGATTCGGTTGACTTTTCTTTAGTGGTTGACATTTATATTCATTTTTGCTTGTGCTTTCCAAAGTTACTGATTAACTGGTGTTAAGATGAGAGGTTGTGCGTGCATCAAACTGTCACCATTGCTATGACCATCATCCAGCCTTTAATCCTACATTTTTGCCAAAATGAAAGTAATGCTGGCTACTCTCACCAAATATTTGAACACAAATGACATATTTTATACATTGTTAAGTCTGGCCTTCAAGTCAAGTAGGTAACATATAGCATGTTTTGATCGAGAACGTGCTAATTTATAAATTATTGATCTTATGGCTCTGCTTAGAACGGACTTTGGGTAGTTTAAAGCTCCTCAAGTGAAAGTTGGTTCTGCTGTCAGTATTCCCTTCTGACATCTCAGAAAGACATGGTGGTCTGAGTGAGTTATGATTCGGTAAGAAAGAATTTACCTACGACTTGGGTAACGTGATACTTATCACATTTGTGTGTTTATATTCCTCCCTATCAGGTGATTGGAGATATGGGGGTCTTAAATGTAGAACAAACGCGGATCCAGCGCACGTGCATTGGGGGGAGAGAGTGAGTTTCGACACTTGGGGCCAGTTACATTTCTCTATCAAGCTTAGGCAGTCAGAGGGACACAGTGGTGAAACTTGCAAAGAAGATTAAAGACAGGTGTGTGTGCGTCTGTGTGGAGGGGTAGCATAATTGTGTAGAGGGTGGGGATACTGCACTGCTACTATTTAATAAGGTGTCCTGCTGCTGAGCTGGTGCCCAGGTGTGGGTAGAAATAATAAAATAATTCTATTAACTTTGTCCAAATAAAGGCACCTTTAACCAACATAATATGGTTACCTTCAAGATCAGTTGCGCAAACAAGAGTTACTTGAAAAATCACTTTTAAAAATTCATGTTTATTCTAGAAAAAAGAAATTACACTTAATGCTTTAATAGCAAGCAAACAATTTACAGTGTAGCAGGTAAGCAGTTAAAAATGCCACATCTTCCTTCTAAACCATGGAATGGAAATCGTATCATTTTGCTTCTTTCAAATTTGAACACCTTTTACTTTATTTTTACCTGTATTTTTGGTATTTTCCTCCCAAAACAGATATCTTAGTATCATTATTCAATATGACTACTTTACAGATATGTATGTTTATCATTACTCGAAAAGACTACTTTATTATTTTGTGGTTTACCCAACAAATATTAATATAATAAATTGTTGTCTTATGTTGAATGCAAACTAAGTGTACAGATTTAAACGGGGAGTTTCACAACTACTGATGGTTTACTACTTTTCTTTTGGGGTCTTTATCTAGATTTAAGAGAAAAAATTAAACAAGAAAAAGAAAAAAAAACACAAAATAACAAACAAACATTTGTCAGAAAAAGTTACAGGCAGGATAACATAAACAATGACTCTAATTATATATAACCAAGAACAACAGAAAAAGAAAGATTTATGACAAATGTAGTGCTTAAAATTAACCTAACAATACATCTGATAAAAATATTGGCATAAGAGAGTGGCAATTACACTGATATAACAATAGCTAACAGGGGGATTTTCTCCCAGACGAGTTAAGGCACAGTCTTCAGTTTATCCATTGCCAAAGCATGGTTTCTAGACAACAATGCCTTGACAATGAGGGAGAATTTATCATCAGCATTTCTTTTTTCTTCATTTGTTACCTTTTATGGTGTCCTTATATTTTACATTCCAAATAATCCTCTTGAAACAATCCATTCCTGTGATCAATAAATCAAAATTCAAGAAGCCTGGGCCATATGGAGGACATAAAGCTGCAGAAGCTCTCCCTATTGAATAAGCAGCAACCATGCAAAAGCATCAAAACGTACATTTTTATCATAATGACAACCTAAATTATGTACAGTAGTAAGCCCAATTTTACTGATGCTGACAAAGGTATATAACATAGTAAATAAAGATGTTTCTACATCAGCCTTAACACTGTATCACAGCTTACACTCGAGTTCCGTTTACTAAACACCCACCCATGCCCAAAGTTGCATCCCTTATTCGGGTCTGCTTCTTCATTTTCTTTTCATTTCTAAATATGCCCACTAGTTCTGTCTGAATGTCCTAATATTATGTGTAGACAAAATGTACATCACAAAAATATATTGCCAATGCTCTGAATTTACCCAGAAATATCAAAGCACTTGAATTCTTGTCTCCTTTATCAATGACACTTTTCTAATGGCATTTGCTTTTTTGAATCTTGACAATTTGAAACCCATTCACACCAAGTTAAAGTCTAAATCAATCCTCAAATTCAGAGACCACAAAGGTAAAGACTGCTATAGGAAGCTACACATTACTTCAGTATCTTCAACACTATAACTAACAATCTGGCATTGATGAAATACGAGCAGGTTCAAGTTAAAACTGGTGTGAACAGGGACTGAAATTGTACCACCCATGCTTTCTTCTTTACATCAGTATGTCCTCTATATAATCATATTCTAAAGAGATATTGGTTTACATTGTTGTCCAATATAACTTATGCTACAAACTTAAATGAAATATTATCTCGTTTTTTCTTCTTTCTTTAGAACCAATACTAGTATACTTATTTTGTGCCTTGGTAAGAAACATATCTTGAAGTACAGATTTTTTTCTGGGAGGTTGGATTTTCGAGATCTGTGGTGTCATTTAAAATGCAACTGATGAATTTGTACATTGAATAGACATTTTTTCAAGTATTTACATAAAGTATTCTCTTCACAAAATGACTTCATTTATACAAGCATTTTCCCCCATTTGTTTTCCGCCTTTAATTACAAACACATAACTGAAAATAATAATATCTTAGTCAAGTCATTTACAGTAAAGATTTGTGTTCACATTTTCACTTGGTGATTGTATGAAAACTTGCACATTCATTCAAAAACAATATATATCTATCTATAATACCCTACCCCAAATATGTTATTTATCATTTACCCACCCTACAAACCCCAAATATACCCCAATTTTAAAATAGTGTTTGAGAAAGTCCTTTGTAGCCCCAAACATTTTCACAACATCCCTTTTGAAAAGGTCGAGGAGCTAGAAGTGAACTTCCAACAGTAACAGAAATGATACAAAGACCACTGTTGTGGTCAACTTCAACGATTAACTATAAAAAAAAAAAAAAAAAAGACTGATGTTACAGAGCCTGGCATAAGCTCTAAATTCAGTCAAATCAGAATTTGGAGTGAAAAAACATCAAACTAGAAAAATTAAAAGAAAATGTGTTCCTTTTTTTTAGCAACTTGTTTTAACATCTAGTGAAATTATTGTGAGCTACTGTGAGCCCAAAATGTTGATATAGCAGTAAATCAAAAAAAGAAGAAATATCTGCAAAAGTAACACCAACTGCAGATTTTTTCTTCTTTTTATCAGTTTGTCTTTATAATCAGTTATGGAAATGGTGCACATTTTTTTAAATGAGTTTCCCTTATATCTACACAATATCAAGTCTACTTGCCCCTTTCAAAATCCAACATAGCCATTCTTACTCTGCATTTTGGCTGTTTCTTATTCAAAATTCAGTGTTTTTTCTGTATATCTTTGTTGAAATCAAAACTATTTAAGGAAAAAAAAAAATAGGTCATATTGACCTACTAAAATGTTACCAATTATATAGGAACTGAAGAGTAAAATCCAAAGTCATTACAACCTGTTATCATTTTAGCTTGCTATCACCAATTAATGAAAAAGAAACAAATAGGTCATCACGACCTACTTCTTGAGCCAAGTTACTATAAATAGGATCCTATGATAACAGTTCTCCTCACACGGACTGGTATCCCTGTCTATTGGTTCGCCTGCCGATGAGGTAAGCAATGAGAACAATCACAACCAGTCCTGCTAACGCAGCACCTACAGCAATGGGTACGATGTTGTCTGTTTGTGTATCTGCTAAACATACAGTTTCTGAAAATGACAAAAGATAATAATATGAAGAAGAATATAAAATCAGTCACTTGGGCTGAGGTCAAGATATAGCTTTACAAAAGCCAGAAAATTGAAACTGACTGAAGTTGGATGGTGCACTTATACTACTTAACATGGTTATCATTCTAAAAGAAATATAAAGGAGCTTAAAACATATCCTGCACATATGACTGTAAAGTTGAAAGAGGTTGGCTGACCTATTAGTATATATGCCATTTGACTATACATGTAGTGCTGACAGCTGGTTGTTATGTTCAGGCGTGATTTTAAGGTGATGAAATGCAGGTGAACAGTTCATCTTTTTAACGTTAAACTAAAAAGAATGAATCTTCGGCTCTCTCAAAGCCACAGTACACTTCAGATTTAGAAAAAAATGCTGCCAAGTCTTGCAGCATTTTCCAGCATAAATAGTCCAGTTCTTTCCTAAATTTACCCTTACATCTTTGGGAATCTTAAAACTTTTGTTAAACTGATTTTCAACTGCAATGAATCAACAAATTAATATTCAGTCTGATGAATTTCATCACAGTGCTAACTATACCAAACTGTACACAAAGACAAGACTGAAACAAATTTTAACAGGTTTTGATACAAAAATGACACTTACACTATCAAACTGTTCAGGAAAAAAAAAAAAAAAAAAACTAACCTTTTCCCCCACCAAAAGTATCAGTTTTGTTGTTCTGGTTGAAGGCTGTCACTTTCAAGTTAGTAATAGTGACAGATACTTTATCATCAAATGTTGGATTAATTGCAGAGTTGCATCTGTAGTAGCTGTTAACCGGTGCTTGCACATTTTCAAAATGTCCGTTTGAAGAATTCTTCACATCTGAAAAAGCATTATAATAACGAGTACTGAAAAAACTTTGGGAACTATTATATATTTATTTATTTACTGAGAATACATTGTAATTATGAAAATACTCCCCTCCCCAAAAAAAAAAAAAAAAAAAAAAAAAAAAAAAAAAAAAAAAAAAAAATTACACACACATTCAATTACTTAATAAATCAATAAAGTCATAAAATAAAATATTGAGTAACTATTCCTAAATAAAACAAGGCAGCAAAGCTGTCAAATGTACAGACAAAAAGCNACCTGTTGCATCGGGGAACAGGGTTGAATCCTTGGTGTTGTACTCAACAGTGGCATTTGCCAATGCCACATTGTTGTCATCATTAGTGAATCTCATGGTCATACTGACAGCATTATCGTACATATTTATTGTAATTGTCTCCAAAGCCTTCGAACAATTTCCTTCAACTGCTGCACTGCTATTTTGGGGCAGACTGAATTTAGCTTCTAACGTCTTGTTCTGAAACCATAATGAAACAATTCATAAAAACTAGAAAGTGAAGCTGCTATATATATATATCAGTCATTCTTTGCTAGTGGTGCACTGCGGGGGGCCATATAACAAGAATGTAATTTAAATTTAGATCGCCAAACAAATTCTCATGACATCATTGTGTATGTCTCAATAACAAATCAAAGAAGCTGCATGAGCAAGGAGGATTCTGTCATAAAAGCAAAATAAGAGAAAATGCAGAAAATATATCGAAATTACCCTCAAAATGGCGTACTTCGTTAGCAGCAAAGCGAAAAAAAGAAAGAGAAAGGAAAAGAAAATATAGATCTGCTTTGACCCCTCAGAAGAGAGCTGCAATCAACTTGAAAAGATCATTCCGGGGCCACTCTCCATTTATTGTGAGCTATAGGGAGCGTTCCTGCTTCTGTGAAGCATGTGTGACACTTGAAGGCGAGCATACTTATAAGCAAGTCCTTTGTTGGAGACTGGAAAGAAGTCAGCTTGAAAGTCAACAGGAGGCAAAAATGAAAAGTGCTTGTTTTACAATATCCATATTGTTAACCATAATATATATTAAACCAATTTATTTCCTGTCATATTTATACATATAAGTATAAAATGAAAAGTTGAATATGGTCTGTCAAAATTAGATAAAATCAATTTTACTCATTAAAAATATGTGCTGAAGAAAGATAAAAACTGTTTGAGGGACCATTTCCACAGATATTTGGATCAATGTATCTCACTAAATTGCTATCAAACTAACTGGCTAAGTAAAACTGTTAGGGGGTAATTATCTTTACCCCTGGCTGATTCGGTAGGCGTGACAGTCATTTAAGCCTCCTAAGCTGATAGCAATATAGCATGAACCCCCAGGGAGCTAGGTCGATCCAGATGGATCGATCTAAGTATGGGAATCCAGTCTTAAACTTACCCATTTTTCGTTATCAGAGTAAAAAGATTCCTTGTATTATACACTCTGGGACATTCTTTAGATCAACTTTGTTTAGTGTGTGTCCCATATAACAGAGTTACAGTAAACAAAAATATGTGCATTATTCCTCTGTGTTTGTCAATTCCAATTTAAAAGTGTGTGAGAGCAATGTTCCTCTCATGCTTGAAGTTTGTGTGGTTAATAGCATAAATAGTTATTTACATAATTATAAAAAGTTTTTGTTCCCGCGTCACTAACTTTACCGTGTCAGACATATTCACCATTTTTATCAATAATGAAATGTGGATTGAATTCTTCAAAACCAGTTTTAAAGCATTGAGACAACACCCCCTTATGATTTGAACTAAAACTAAAAACATTCCATTAGATTTTCATTAGTTTTAGTGCCAAATATATCTCCCATGTAACGTGTCTTGGATTTGGAGGGTATAGCTGTTCAACTCTCTTGTGTGCCCTGACAAGGGCATCTGCTGTTTCCCTTTTGATGAAATGATAAACTGTGATGGTGTAGCTATCACATTGCAAAATTACAACTTCCCAGAGAAAGTTTGAAATTTTCGGTCAAATTCAACATTTTGTAACCACTAGCAAAGAATGACAGATATATATATATATCAAACAACAAAGAACATTGTATTTGTAGAGATAATCAGTACTATGATGTGTCCCATAGTACAATTGATGCTGGACCAGTAATGAATTGCACATTTGTTCAGTTACTGATCACCCCTTTTAAAAAGTTTTCAAATGAGATTAAATGGATGCATGGTATTCTATAAATAAGAATTGCTAGCAGGAATGGTCACACACACTTAGGCATGCTGAAAATAGTTCTATGCAACACCAAACTGATAGGGAACAAAACCGAGGTGTTGGCATACTTCTCAAATCATTACCGTAATTGACTGGGGGGAGGGGGGGGGGGGAGCAAAGGCTCCATTGCACTAAGTGATCTTCCCCTCTCTGTACAACCCTCCCCTTCAATGTAACTCTGCTCTGGTCATTGCTTTATTATTATGTCTTCTGTTTAACATTCCCTTCAACCTTTTAATTTCAGCCAATTGTAACTATGTTCTATTTACAATTGTACATGGGTTGATCTTCCTTGGAACTAACTACCTCTATTGGTCATTCCATTAAACTAAGCTCACTATATATAATCCCTCTAATCTCTTTAATTAGTAGATTGCTGTACCCAGTAATGATTGGGCGATACATGTATTAGTTATAATGTCACCTTTATCAGTCATAAAATAATTTAAGCAGTGTAGGAAATTAAAAGGCTTATTCAAAGTTCAATTTCCTGTTATTTCTAACAACATATCCAAGTATCGTAATGTAAAGAAAAACAACGTTTCAATATCAATACATGTTTATATCAATAACAATGATAACAAGAAACGATTCTCTGGCTTTATAAACACTCACCTTGACATCCATATACTTGATAGTAAACTGGGCATTCATTTGCAGAATGATGCAGTCAACACTGCCATTTCTCACCACAAAAGTTTTCCGCTCTGGTTCGGCAGTGGTGGTTATCGGTGATGTTGTCGATGGTTGTGTTGTCGATGGTTGTGTTGTTGACGATTGTGTTGTCGAACTGTTGGTGCTATTGCTTGTAGTTGGGGCTTGGGTTGCTGTTGTTCCATTGCTGGTAGTTGACGTAGTCACAATGGTAGTTTTCACTGTTGTTGTTGGTGTTGTAACTGTTGTCGTTGCAGCAGCCGTCGTGTTATTCTGGGCAGCCACAAATGCAACTGAAAAATAGCAATAATAAGTGTGGACCTGTGTGAACAATTTGTGTGAATATGGAAAGTACAGTTAAAGGCAAAGGTTTCACATTAAGAATTTTTTTGAAATCTTATAGATAGAAACATTTAACATAACAAATATGATAGCAGTGGTTACTGTGGGAGAAATGAATCCACTTCCTGGTATTGGCAAACTTTGATGACTGCAAAATCAATTTCCAGACTCATTCTGGCTGAACACCTGTTGTGTGCTGAACATATTTGATAAGATAGGGAAGCAATCATTGAGTTTTTTTTTTACACGGACTATTCAGTTTTTGATTTCAGAAATACTGATAAAAACCTTCACATATCAGGTACTATCATCAGATCATGTACTTCAAATCTAAGTACAATAAATAAATAAATAAATAAATAAATAGATAGATAGCACCACAATTACATAGCATACATATGAATGAAGCATTATATAATCAAACTGTAAAGGTTTGATCCACTTGCCGAGTCACTTTCTCACATTAAGTGGATCCCATCCAAATGTCAGGGGTAATAAGAACAATAATAGCAAAATATTTCACATCACTCGTTGTTTATTTTTCTTGGCAACTATCTTCCCTTCACAGCAAACGATATATATATATATATATATATATATATATATATATATATATATATATATATATATGCACAGGTTACAACTCATGGTAAACCTTTTTCTAGAAGAAATTGACTTCCTACATAAACCATATTAAGGGTCAATAATCAATTTATGTCTCATACCACATGAAATCATTACAGTGGCAAATTCAGCATAGTATTCAACACACTAATCCCCATGTGATTGTTGACATGACTCACACCAGCAAAGTCAGGAGTGCAAAAGTTCTATTCAAAAATTTCAATATTCTAAAATACTTATTCTCATATATGCATCTGATGGAAAATACCATTCAGCCAGAGCCATTTGACACTAGTAGGTGGCAATTTCCTTTCTCAATAGGCACCAACCGGCTAGCTAAATGTTAATTTTTACCTAATACTAGCATTTATTGAAGGCCCCATTCAGAACAAGGGACTACCTAGTCTGAGGGTCAAATATGGCAACCTACTACAAAGCTTGCAGTCTAATCCACTAACAGACACCGAAAAGACATCCTGTAGAAAAGCATTCAAGTAGGTCGGCAATGTTTAACCCTCTAGCTACGGTAATGTGNGATTGAGGGTTAATCATGATGTCTGAATGTTAATGCTACAAGCAAAACCTACATTATTTATTTGTATCATGGTTACTTTTGTTTTCTTTTTTTAATTTTTGCTTTTCAAAGTTTATAACTTGAAAGTGTCGTGTTATTAAAAACAAGAGGACCAACCAATAACATGCACTGTGATATCCTCATAAAGAGTCCCATCATGACCTACTCTTTTTATAGAAATCTCAGCAGTCATAAGACAACGAGTTACTGTAGTGTACGGACGTGTTTTATTGCTTTCGACACAAATCTGTCAATTAGCAATGTGAAAATGTCTCGCATTACCGGATTAGAGGATGCTTTCAGCGGAGCCATGAGACGGGCAAGAGGAAGGATTTCCAACGCTGCCTCCTTTGTCAGAAGCAGGCTGAGAAGAGCAACAGGAGTTTGAGTCCATCCTAACTTGAAACATGCGTCTATGCTGCCAGTTCCCAAGGTTTTGGTAATGAATACTTCTTTATTTATTTCTTTTGGTAAGATTTGGCCACTCTGTAAAAAGCTGTGAGGAGGCAGTTTTTACCAATATAACCACAGAAAATATTATGATGGAGTCTGGTAAATGCCATGCCCACTCAATGTCACACTTCCTGCTGATCAGTCTCTCTTAAAATTGCCATGTGGCAGTGCTGAGAAAGTTTTGGACATCACTGGGATGATTCAGATCAAATGACTCCCTAGCCTGACTGAGAAAGTGACTTCAGGAGTGGTTGATCAGCAAGCAGTATGAGACCACAAAGAAACTAACCTTTAATTTCACATGTAACTTATCTTACCTTTGAAACCAGGCAGCAAATAAATAAATAAATAAATAAATGAATAAATAAATAAAAAGGAACCTGACAAGACCTTATAAAAACCCTCACCAGACCCAAATGGATAAAGAAAACCCTGAAGAGAAAAGCTGAGGCTACTGACACACGAAGACAAAGTTTAGAACTGGTGCAAGGAGGCCATCAGCTTCTGTATAAAATATGAAAAAAGAAAGGTCATTTCTAGACCCTGCCTGTATGCTTCAAAAAAAAAAGAAAAAAAAAAAAAAAGTACATACACGTAGACTCTAGACATGTTAATATCTAGATAATATTAGATAATATTAGCCAAAAGAAATGGGAAGGCCAAAGTAAGGAACAGAAAATCAAGAGAAAGCAAACGTTTAGAAGACGCAGCAATGCATGTAGATCCTATGAGTGAAACTGGTGGCTATGGGACACTATGAGTGCTACCAATAATCATGATGCCCAACAGGTACCTTCAATGTTTCTCTCATTATCAAGCTTCCAAGTAATTAAAAGGCAAAGGGCCTAAGGACGAGCTAAGCTTTAACAAGGCCACATTAATTCATGGCATCTCTGAAAGCTGAAATGGTCAGAGAGGCCTGTTTCACAAAGCCATTGTTCGTTAGAATAACTAATGACAGTAGTATCTTACTAACTAGAAGACTTAGCCATATTTGAGGGGTGTTTCACGAAGCCATCATTAACTCATTGCTAAGTTCAGTCGTAAACAAATAATGGAAGAAAAAGAAAAGACCAAGAGAGCTCCTCTGTGTACAATCGAAGAGCTCGAGGCATTAGTAGTTGGCATATCTGAAAATAGAGAGGTGTTATTTTCAAAGTTTTACAATGTTGTGACTAATAACTTGAAGGAAGACACCTAAAATGTACTTTTCTTTTTTAAAAAAATCCTACTAGTAACCTTTAAATTACGTAACGGTCAATTCTCAGCACCATCCACAATGTCTGCCTAATAAATAATCGGCCGTCAATCAGTACATCCCGTCACAGAATACATGGAAATCTGATTAGTCTGATCTGCGACCAGTATTTTGCTATTGTCACTTCCCCAGGAGCAAACACAGTTTATTTTTGAAGTATGCTGAATAACATGTTTTTCAGAATCAGCAATAACCCACTCCGGATTGCCATCTTCTTGCTGATCCAAAAGAGTCCATATCCGTATCTGGCAGTCATTGCCACCAGAGATGAGCTTAGGGGCGTGGCCACCATCCCCCGGGGGGTCGGCCTTCCCAGATCCCTGGGGTGTGAAATCCACTGAAGATACTCCCTGGGTGTGTCCATATAAAGTTTGCCCTGCCTCTAGCTGCTTTTTACTGCTAGTCATAATCTGTATTTTGCCATTTTCGAGTCCACATGCTGTGTGACTCCCATCTGGTGTTAAAGCAATTGAATGTATGAAGGGAGGGTTGATGAAGTATTCCGTGGCATTCTCCTTCTCATCCCCAATTTCCTGCATGTTAATCTTCTTGATTGCCCGTCCTCTGGAGAAATCCCAGTGGATGAGATTACAGTCAAATCCACCACTTAGCAATTCCCATGGTCTCTGAGGCCGAAAACAAACAGAGGAGCAGATATTGGAGTGCTTGCATAGAGTCTTATAAACTTTCCTCTCTTGTAAATTTATTACCTTTATTGTGTTGGCATCATCACAGGCAGCTAAAAAAGTTCCCTGTTCGTTCACCGTGACCTGGTTTACTTCATCCTCATTGATCTCAAACTGGTGAACAGGTGACGTCCCTGACCTCAAGTCATAAATGAATACTCCCTGCCCCGCGGCAGAATATACCATGTTTTGATTTGACTTCGAACTACAGACCGATGCCACGTCTTCTTCTTGATTGGGGGAGCATATCTTGGTCACTGCCTTCCCCTCAGTGTTCCAAACAATGATCTCTCCCTGCTCTGCTCCAGAGACGAGCTGACCATCGGGATGGACGTCAAGACAGAGGACAGTTTCATTGTGGCCACTTAGATGTATCAGAGACTGCCGTGAGAGAGAGCTGGACATCCTCTGAAAATTTAATAATAATATCCTATGATTCTATTGACAAATTGACAATATAACAAATAAAACTTGTCAATAACCTTAATCTCGGCGTTCCACAAGGGGCCCGCAGCTATAGTCCGAAGGTTCATTGGCCCGAATGTTCACTAAAGAACCTTCGGACCACCAAACCCTTGATTTAAAAACTGATGAAAATGTCACGATTTTTCAGACCAATGAACCTTCGGACCAGTGAAACTTCGGACTATCGAGACGCCGCCTTCCACAACACATAACAGCCGATGAATGATTTACGGCTTTTTGCGAGAAAATACCAATTACGTCACATTTAGAATGATTATTTCGACTAAATCAATCTGATACTTCGACACTTACCTAAATGGACAGCCGATCAGGTTCTTACTGCCCTTTACTTTTTTAAAATATATACTTGCGTTCCAAAAGAGGAAGAAACAAGGTTTTCATTAAAAGGGAAATAAATTGCATCCACTGTACCGCACGTAGTGTCAATGCACAAGACAAGCTGAGGTCAAGAAGTGGGACTTAATTTCTGTATATAAAACTTAGGATATTTATACTGTTGAATGATTGACTAAAATCTGTGAGGATCAATTTGACGTCAGTATAAGTGTCCTAATACAAATATGCAGAATTGTTCATAAATAATCTAGAAAAATAAGCTGAAAATATTTTTCAGCTTTTGCCCCCATCTCATGTTATCATATGTGACATGGCTAGAAAAGGTAGATTCGGTTGATTGTTCTTTAGTGGATGACATTAATATTCATTTTGCTTGTTGCTCTCCAAAGTTACTGATTAACTGGTGTTAAGATAAGAGGTTGTGTGTGCATCAAACTGTCACCATTGCTGTGACATCTTCCAGCCTTTAATCCAACATTTTTGCCAAAATGAAAGTAATGCTGGCCACTCTCACCAAATATTTAAACACAAATGAAATATTTTATACATTGTTAAGTCTGGTCTTCAAGTCAAGTGGGTAACATATAAAACATTTTGATCAAGAACATGTTAATTTATAAATTATTGATTTTTTAGCTCTGCTTAAACTGGACTTTGGGTAGTTAAAAGCTCCTCAAGTCAATATACCTTTCTGACATGTCAGAAAGACATGGTGGTCTGAATGAAATATAATTTGGTAAGAATGAATTTACCGGATTATAATTGGTTCAAAATGCCTTATCAAAATATGCAGAAACAGGTCTAGCATATAGGTTCAAACAATCAAGAGTTAGACAAAATTGCATTTTTCTTAACAAATTGAAGAAAAAAATCTTGAATAAAATATGTTATGATGAAGGCTTTTTTTTTTTTTTGGTATAAGAATATCCAAAGTCTACTAGAAACTTATTTTTAAGAACTTTGGACAAACCATTATCAAGATGTTACTGGTACTGACAACTACCCTGTACATGAGAAAACTGTGGATAGCACATTGTCAAGTACTTTATCAGTTTTGGCAATGCTGAGATATGAAACAGACAAATTAGAAGCAACTTTGACTTTCTTGGTAATAACAATACATTGTTTCCAGTAAGTGGTTACTTTAATGTATTGAGGAATTACCAAATATCAGTTTTTGCATGTGATGGCCAGAATTACTTATATACATCTACGACTTGGGTAACTTGATATATACTTATCATACTTGTGTTTATATTCCTCCCTATCAGGTGATTGGAGATATGGGAGTCTTAAATGTAGAACAAACGGGGATCCAGCGCACGTGTGTTGGGGGGAGAGAGTGAGTTTCGACACTTGGGGCCAGTTACATTTCTCTATCAAGCTTAGGCAGTCAGAGGGACACAGTGGTGAAACTTGCAAAGAAGATTAAAGACAGGTGTGTGTGTGTCTGTGTGGAGGGGTAGTAAAATTGTGTAGAGGGTGGGGATACTGCACTGCTACTATTTAATAAGGTGTCCTGCTGCTGAGCTGGTGCCCAGGTGTGGGTAGAAATAATAAAATAATTCTATTAACTTTGTCCCAATAAAGGCACCTTTAACCAACATAATATGGTTACCTTCAAGATCAGTTGCGCAAACAAGAGTTACTTGAAAAATCACTTTTAAAAATTCATGTTTATTCTAGAAAAAAAAAATTACACTTAATGCTTTCATAGCAAGCAAACAATTTACAGTGTAGCAGGTAAGCAGTTAAAAATGTCACATCTTCCTTCTAAACCATGGAATGGAAATCGGATCATTTTGCTTCTTTCAAATTTGAACACCTTTTACTTTATTTTCACCTGTATTTTTGGTATTTTCCTCCCAAAACAGATATCTTAGTATCATTATTCAATATGACTACTTTACAGATATGTATGTTTATCATTACTCGAAAAGACTACTTTATTATTTTGTGGTTTACCCAACAAATATTAATATAAGAAATTGTCGTCTCATGTTGAATGCAAACTATGTGTACAGATTTAAACGGGGAGTTTCACAACTACTGATGGTTTACTATTTTTCTTTTGGGGTCTTTATCTAGATTTAAGAGAAAAAATTAGACAAGAAAAAGAAAAAAAAACACAAAACAATATACAAACATTTGTCAGAAAAAGTTACAGGCAGGATAACATAAACAATGACTGTAATTATATATAACCAAGAACAACAGAAAAAGAAAGATTTATGACAAATGTAGTACTTAAAATTAATCTTACAATACATCTAATAAAAATATTGGCATTAGAGAGTGGCAATTACACTGATATAACAAAAGCTAACAGGGGGATTTTCTCCTAGACGAGTTAAGGCACAGTCTTCAGTTTATCCATTGCCAAAGCATGGTTTCTAGACAACAGTGCCTTGACAATGAGGGAGAATTTATCATCAGCATTTCTTTTTTCTTCATTTGTTACCTTTTATGGTGTCCTTATATTTCACATTCCAAATAATCCTCTTGAAACAATCCATTCCTGTGATCAATAAATCAAAATTCAAGAAGCCTGGGCCATATGGAGGACATAAAGCTGCAGAAGCTCTTCAAGACAACCTTACTGAATAAGCAGCAACCATGCAAAAGCATCAAAACGTACATTCTTACCATAATGACAACCTAAATTATGTACAGTAGTAAGCCCAATTGAGTATATAACATAGTAAATAAAGATGTTTCTACATCAGCCTTAACACTGTATCACAGCTTACACTCGAGTTCCGTTTACTAAACACCCACCCATGCCCAAAGTTGCACCCCTTATTCGGGTCTGCTTCTTCATTTTCTTTTCATTTCTAAATATGCCCACTAGTTTTGTTTGAATGTCCTAATATTATGTGTTGACAAAATATGCATCACAAAAATATATTGCCAATGCTCTGAATTTACTCAGAAATATCAAAGCACTTGGATTCTGGTCTCCTTTATCAATGACATTTTACTAATGACATTTGATTTTTGAGTCTTGACAATCTGAAACCCATTCACACCAAGTTAAAGTTGAAACCATACAGTCTAAACCAATCCCCAAATTTGGAGACTACAAAGGTAAAGGCTACTATAGGAAGCTACACATTACTTCAGTATCTTTAAAACTATAACAAACAATCTGGCATTGATGAAATACGAGCAGGTTCAAGTTAAAACTGGTGTGAACAGGGACTGAAATTGTACCATCCATGCTCTCTTCTTTACATCAGTATGTCTTCTATATAATCATATTTTAAAGAGATATTGGTTTACATTGTTGTCCAATATAACTTATGCTACAAACTTAAATGAAATATTATCTTGTTTTTTCTTCTTTCTTTAGAACCATTACTAGTATACTTATTTTGTGCCTTGGTAAGAAACATATCTTGAAGTATAGATTTTTTTCTGGGAGGTTGGATTTTCGAGATCTGTGGTGTCATTTAAAATGCAACTAATGAATTTGTACATTGAAAAGACATTTTTAAAGTATTTACATAAAGTATTCTCTTCACAAAATGACTTCATTTATACAAGCATTTTCCCCCATTTGTTTTCCTCCTTTAATTACAAACACAACTGAAAATAATAATATCTTAGTCATTTACAGTAAAGATTTGTGTTCACATTTTCACTTTGTGATTGTATGAAAACTTGCACATTCATTCCAGAACAATATATATCTATCTATAATACCCTACCCCAAATATGTTATTTATCATTTACCCACCCCACAAACCCCAAATATACCCCAATTTTAAAATAGTGTTTGAGAAAGTCCTTTGTAGCCCCAAACATTTTCACAACACCCCTTTTGAAAAGGTCGAGGAGCTAGAAGTGAACTTCCAACAGTAACAGAAATGATACAAAGACCACTGTTGTGGTCAACTTCAACGATTAACTATAAAAAAAAAAAAAAAGACTGATGTTACAGAGCCTGGCATAAGCTCTAAATTCAGCCAAATCAGAATTTGGAGTGAAAAAACATCAAACTAGAAAAATTAAAAGAAAATGTGTTCCTTTTTTTAGCAACTTGTTTTAATATCTAGTGAAACTATTGTGAGCTACTGTGAGCCCAAAATGTTGATATAGCAGTAAATCAAAAACAGAAGAAATATCTGCAAAAGTAACACCAACTGCAGATTTTTTCTTCTTTTTATCAGTTTGTCTTTATAATCAGTTATGGAAATGGTGCACATTTTTTTTAATGAGTTTCCCTTATATCTACACAATATCAAGTCTACTTGCCCCTTTCAAAATCCAACATAGCCATTCTTACTCTGCATTTTGGCTGTTTCTTATTCAAAATTCAGTGTTTTTTCTGTATATCTTTGTTGAAATCAAAACTATTTAAGGAAAAAAAAAGGTCATATTGACCTACTAAAATGTTACCAATTATATAGGAACGGAAGAGTAAAATCCAAAGTCATTACAACCTGTTATCATTTTAGCTTGATATCACCAATTAATGAAAAAGAAACAAATAGGTCATCACGACCTACTTCTTGAGCCATGTTACTATAAATAGGATCCTATGATAACAGTTCTCCTCACACGGACTGGTATCCCTGTCTATTGGTTCGCCTGCCGATGAGGTAAGCAATGAGAACAATCACAACCAGTCCTGCCAACGCAGCACCTACAGCAATGGGTACGATGTTGTCTGTTTGTGTATCTGCTAAACATACAGTTTCTGAAAATGACAAAATATAATACTATGAAGAAGAATATAAAATCAGTCACTTAAGCTGAGGTCAAGGTATGGCTTTACAGACCCCAGAAAAGTGAAACTGACTGAAGTTGGACGGTGCACTTATACTACTTAACATGGTTATTATTCTGAAAGAAATATAAAGGAGCTTAACACATATCCTGCACATATGACTGTAAAGTTGAGAGGGGTTGGCTGACCTATTAGTATATATGCCATTTGACTATACATGCAGTGCTGATAGCTGGTTGTTATGTTCAGACGTGATTTTAAGGTGATTAAATGCCATTGACAGTTTATTTTTTTAAACGTAAAACTAAAAAGAATGATTCTTCAGCTCTCTCAAAGTCACAGATGGCACTTCAATTAAAAAAAAATGCTGAGGAGTCTTACAGTATTTTCCAGTTCTTTCCAAAATTTACCCTTACACCTCATTGGATATCGTTAAGCTTTCATTAAACTGATTTTCAACTGCAATGAATCAACCAATCAATAATCGGTCTGATGAATTCCCCCCCCAACCCAAAAAAAAAAGGGAATTATAGTAAACTGTACACAAATTTAAACAGGTTTTGATAAAAAAAAAAAAAAATGACACTTAATCTATCAACCTGTTAAGCAACAAGGGAAAAAAACTAACCTTTTCCCCCACCAAAATCATCAGTTTTGTTGTTCTGGTTGAAGGCTGTCACTTTCAAGTTAGTAATAGTGACAGATACTTTATCATCAAATGTTGGATTAATTGCAGAGTTGCATCTGTAGTAGCTGTTAACCGGTGCTTGCACATTATCAAAATGTCCGTTTGAAGAATTCTTCACATCTGAAAAAGCATTATAATAACGAGTACTGAAAAAACTTTGGGAACTATTATATATTTATTTATTTATTTATTTACTGAGAATACATTGTAATTATGAAAATACTCCCCCCCCCCCCAAAAAAAAAAAAAAAAAAAAAAAAATTTACACACACACACACACACATATTCAATTACTTAATAAATCAATAAAGTCGTAAAATAAAATATTGAGTAACTATACCTATATAAAATAAAAATTAAATAACCAAACCTGTTGCATTGGGGAACACTGTTGAATCCTTGGTGTTGTACTCAACAGTGGCATTTGCCAATGCCACATTGTTGCCATCATTAGTGAATCTCATGGTCATACTGACAGCATTATCGTACATATTTATTGTAATTGTCTCCAAAGCGTTCAAACAATTTCCTTCAACTGCTGCACTGCTATTGTGGGGCAGAATGAATTTAGCATCTTTCGTCTTGTTCTGAAACCATAATGAAACAATTCATAAAAACTAGAAAGTGAAGCTGCATATATATATATATGTAAAGATAGATAGATATCAAACAACAAAGAACATTGGATTTGTAAAGATAATCAGTACTATGATGTGTCCCATAGTACAATTGATGCTGGACCAGTAATGAATTGCACATTTGTTCAGTTACTGATCACCCCTTTTAAAAAGTTTTCAAATGAGATTAAAATGGACGCATGGTATTCTATAAATAAGAATTGCTAGCAGGAATGGTCACACACACTTAGGCATGCTGAAAATAGTTCTATGCAACACCAAACTGATAGGGAACAAAACTGAGGTGTTGGCATACTTCTCAAATCATTACCGTAATTGACTGGGGGGAGGGGGGGAGGGGGAGGGGGGGGGGAGCAAAGGCTCCATTGCACTAAGTGATCTTCCCCTCTCTGTACAACCCTCCACTTCAATGTAACTCTGCCCATTGGTCATTGCTTTATTATTATTATGTCTTCTGTTTAACATTCCCTTCAACCTTTAAATTTCGGCCAATTGTAACTATGTTCTATTCACAATTGTACATGGGTTGATCTTCCTTGGAACTAACTACCTCTATTGGTCATCCCATTAAACTAAGCTCACTATATATAATCCCTCTAATCTCTTTAATTAGTAGATTGCTGTACCCAGTAATGATTGGGCGATACATGTATTAGTTATAATGTCACCTTTATCAGTCATAAAATAATTTAAGCAGTGTAGGAAATTAAAAGGCTTATTCAAAGTTCAATTTCCTGTTATTTCTACCAACATATCCAAGTATCGTAATGTAAAGAAAAACAACGTTTCAATATCAATACATGTTTATATCAATAACACTGATAACAAGAAACGATTCTCTGGCTTTATAAACACTCACCTCGACATCCATATACTTGATAGTAAACTGGGCATTCATTTGCAGAATGATGCAGTCAACACTGCCATTGCTCACCACAAAAGTTTTCCACTCTGGTTTGGCAGAGGTGGTTATCGGTGATGTTGTTGTCGATGGTTGTGTTGTCGATGGTTGTGTTGTCGACGATTGTGTTGTCGAACTGTTGGTGCTATTGCTTGTAGTTGGGGCTTGGGTTGCTGTTGTTCCACTGCTGGTAGTTGACGTAGTCACAATGGTAGTTTTCACTGTTGTTGTTGGTGTTGTAACTGTTGTCGTTGCAGCAATCGTCGTGTTATTCTGGGCAGCCACAAATGCAACTGAAAAATAGCAATAATAAGTGTGGACCTGTGTGCACAATTTGTGTGAATATGGAAAGTACATTTAAAGGCAAAGGTTTCACATTAAGAATTTTTTCGAAATCTTATAGATAGAAACATTTAAAATAACAAATATGATAGCAGTGGTTACTGTGGGAGAAATGAATCCACTTCCTGGTATTGGCAAACTTTAATGACTGCAAAATCAATTTCCAGACTCATTCTGGCTGAACACCTGTTGTGTGCTGAACATATTTGATAAGATAGGGAAGCAATCATTGAGTTTTTTTTTTACACGGACTAATCAGTTTTTGATTTCAGAAATACTGATAAAAACCTTCACATATCAGGTACTTTCATCAGATCATGTACTTCAAATCTAAGTACAATAAAAAAATAAATAGATAGAGAGCACAACAATTACATAGCATACATATGAATGAAGCATTATATAATCAAACTATAAAGGTTTGATCCACTTGCCGAGTCACTTTCTCACATTACTAGTAAGTGGATCCCATCCAAATGTCAGGGGTTATAAGAACAATAATAGCAAAATATTTCACATCACTCGCTGTTTATTTTTCTTGGCAACTATCTTCCCTTCACAGCAAACCATATATATATGTGTGTGTGTGTGTGTGTGTGTGTGTGTGCACAGGTTACAACTCATGGTAAACCTTTTTCTAGAAGAAACTGACTTCCTACATAAACCATATTAAGGGTCAATAATCAATTTATGTCTCATACCACATGAAATCATTTCAGTGGCAAATTCAGCATAGTATTCAACACACTAAGCCCCATGTGATTGTTGACATGACTCACAACAGCAAAGTCAGGAGTGCAAAAGTTCTATTCAAAAATTTCAATATTCTAAGGCTCTATTCCCATAGATTTTAGATCGCTCTATCCCCGCGATGAGTCTCACTAGATTACTTTCAGATAATCTTACTTAAATGCCCGTCCCGCCTACTACAAGCTGTAGAGGGGGTAATCAACTTTCGTGTCTGCCCGGCTGACAGCTATTTAGCGTGAACCCCCAGGGAGTTAGGTCGATCTAAAGTAGGTCGATCTAATCTATGGAAATGGGGTGTAAATTACTTATTCTCATATATGCATCTGATGGAAAATACCATTCAGCCAGAGCCATTTGACACTAGTAGGAGGCAATTTCCTATCTCAATAGGCACCACCAGGCTAGCTAAATGTTAAATTTTACCTAATACTAGCATTTATTGAAGGCCCCATTCAGAACAAGGGACTACCTAGTCTGAGGGTCAAATATAGCAACCTACTACAAAGCTTGCAGTCTAATCCACTAACAGACACCGAAAAGACATCCTGTAGAAAAGCATTCAAGTAGGTCGGCAATGTTTAACCCTCTAGCTAGCTAGTCCCCTTTTCTGAAAGGGGCCTAAGACCCTAATTATCTGAAGAGCTAGTGGACCAGAAAGAGAAGGGGGTGGCAGCAAGATTAACTATCTCATGTGACCCAGTCAGTGACTCAGTGCATATGGAGTAAACTATTAGTGCTGACCCAAACCTCTGTTATCAGATATGATTTCCATGTGATTTCACAATGGAATGAGACAATAAATGGCACAGTTCAGTCCTGTTCTCATCAGTTCTAAATTGTTCAAAACCCTGCTTCAAGTGGGAAATGTTAAGCCCCATCTTGCCCCCCCCCCCACCACACACCCCCTATCCCAATATACTCCAACTTAAATGAAATCCCTATAATATTCCAAAATTAAATAGTCAGCAGAATAAGCATTTGGTTTACATGATGATCTACTGCAATCAACTGCCCACTCCCTGATGTTAAAACTAAAACGTCGTAAGTGAAAACAGTTCTGACCACATCCCTGCACAACTCAGGCATGTAATACATAAGGGAATTTACTAATTGGTACACATGTTCATGTCTGCCGTGAATGCTCAAGTTACTGCCTACGACCAGCAGACAATGTAATAAGTATTTCTAGGCATTGCAGGTTGATCTCAAGACACATGACAGAACTCGATTACAATAGTTGTGGGTGGAACAAGAGTGGGATAAGGCTGGCTTCCTATTGTTTGAAATCATTATCATTTGAACATGCTAAGTTAAGTTCATAACAGCTAACTGGATGCAGTGTACATTCATATAAGTGGAAATCAGAAAATACCATATATATATATATATATATATATATATATATATATATATATATATATATATATATATATATATAAAATTCACTTAATGAAAAAATAATTTTTCTTCAATTTATTCTGTATCATAGTTATCTTCTGCATGTAAGAACAGGGGATAATACTGAAACGATTATTCAACTATATTTGATCTTGATTTTCATTACTATTCAACAATATCTTTTATAGAATTTAATAGTGAAATGACTTTTCAACTATATCTGTTCTTGACTAAATCCTACTTTCAAATTCACAGTTCTTTGCAATTCATTTTAACTCAATCCAATTTGAATTTACACCAATGAAATCAAAATATTGGATGCAAAAAATTATAATATTAGCTGTTGACTGAAGAAAAATTACTTTACACTGATGTTTGATATTTACTCAATATGATATGCATCAAAATACTTTTGATTTTGACAAACAGAGAAGAATATAAAGTATAAACAATAAAACAACAGAGTCAAGAAAACCTGACAATGACAGATCAATGGGGAATGGGGGGGGGGGGGGAAGCACACTCTAACACCTCACACAATCATAAACTTGTTTCAACTGGTAGACAAGATGTTAACACCTGTGTACACAAGTATACCAACATCTTAACCTGTCAGAGATTGCCAGGATTTGTCACTGTATACTTTAAGCAAGATGATTTATAACAAGATTTCCAACATCTAACCCTGTCAAAGATTCCCAGCATTTGTCATTCTTTATTTTAAGCATGGTGACTATCAAGTCTGTCTTAATAATGACTTTCTATACTTCAATATTCGATCTCTGATGAGAAATAGTTGACATTAAGGGATAAAAGTCACGCTCTACTCACCTTAACTAGTAAGGATGCAGGAAGTGACCTAATACTCAAATAAGTCCCATCTCACCTTCGAGTAGATTTACGTAAGATGGTGAAATCTTAGGCAAAGTCGCCCGTTTAATGACATATCAGGTGCATTTCAATAATTTTTGTTGAAATACGGGGGAATATAACAAGGCTGGATTGGTGTATAATTTCCAAGTAAAAAGCGATATTATCAAGAGGAAAAATGGCCACTGGCACTGGTGTACTGCTATTTTTCACTGTCAAGTCAACCAAGGCGTCTCGACAACTCCAAATACTTAACTCTTCGAGGCTATTTCGCTGATCATCATAATAAAATCCAATGCCTCAACTTACCACATAAACTGCCAATAAGCAGGTATTTTGTCATTTTGCTCTCCATTTCTCAGTCGGATCCTCGCTTTACGCCAAAATTTACTGAAGTCGGAGGCAAGTCACGGGAATGTCACATGACCCTTATCTTTATCGATTCGTCAATAGGTGGCCAAAATCACGACAGAATGGAACAGTGAACCGCACTTTTATCTGTCAAATAATCAAAAATTCAATACTCGATTGATGAATAATGAACATTGATATAAAAAAGTTAGATGTTAAATTGCAAAGTAGTTAACTTTATTAAAGGTGCAATTCAATTCTTTTTTTAGTTTTTCATGGATACAGTGACCTCTATTGAGTAAATTTATCACCACACAATAAGAAGATCAAAAAGAAACATCATGAAACCAAGTTTAGTGGTGGATGAAATGTTTCCTGAAGGGGCAGGGCCCTACATGGACATTGAAGAGGTAAACTCGATGTCAGAAAAGATGCATAGCACTCAAGACTTTGGCTTTCAGTGGACGCTCAAATCACGATCGAATAATTCCATGTTGATGTTCTCAATCGATCGCCGATTTTTTAGTTGGATTTTTTATTATCAAGATTTTTCACAAACTGCGTGCCTCAAGGCTTGTATACATATTTAAGAGCAGCACTGAAAATACGTCTGAAGACTTTCCTGTGCAATCATAACTTTATTTAACATCTCAGCATTCGAAACAAAGCCATTTATTATTTATGTCTTCGTTCATGCACTCACAAGTTTCAAACAACATGTAACCAGTAGTAAGTCTAATTTTTAAATGCAAACCATCTTTCATTTTTGGAATTCAGTCCCCATGTAATTTTAAGATAATGCTGTTTTGTGAAGTGTAATTGCTCTGTTAAGTTCAAATCTAGTGCTTATTATGATATAACATTATATTATATTATATTACAGAAACTGGAGTCAAATTTTTGCTTTTTATATAACACTAAGTTTGAAGCACTCATATGATATAACTGTGCTGTGTAAACATTTAATTTTTCAGGCTGGTGGATCCAGTGCACTGCTGATGGATCTGGCTGCAAATGAGAAGTCGGTTGATCAGGACTTTTATAATGGTGAGTTAAATATCCAGTGCCTTACTTTCAGTGCTGGTTAAGTTGCCACTGGTGAAAAACAGGGGAAAGATGATTTGAAAATAAGCAAAGGGAACACGAAGGTTAACATTCACAAAGAGCCTGTGTGTGTGTGTGTGTGTGTGTGTGTGTGAGAGAGAGAGAGAGTCCTTGAGGTCTCAAGTGAACATTCCCATGTTGTTTCTCTCCTTCACAGACAGGGTAGGATTGAGAGAGCTGCAAATTAACCCAAGGAATAACAACAATTGATAGAATTTTTCATAATTTTAATCACTCATGTTAACACTACAACATCACGTACAAAAAATATATTAATTGCCAATAAAACTACTTTGTAAATAATAATGGGAAAATGAACAATATCACTTGTTTAAGCTGTTGTATAAAAACAAAACCATCTGAAACATTTTTGTTTTTGATCACATATCAACAGTGTTTGTGTCCGATAAAATCTTAATTTTAGCAATTTACCCCTTACCAAGGTATACTTATCCTTAACTTTGGACGAAATTTTGATATACAAATCCACTTTTGAGCTCTTGATTTCAAATAACTTTTTTTACAAGTGAAATTCACCACAGCATACCACTCAATTATTAGGACTTGATATTGATCAGTGATTAGAAACTCATTACTAGTATACAGGTTCAAAATATTGTAATTTTGTCAACATTTTGGTGATTAAAGAAAATTATTGCAAAACAAAAAGTATAATACTCCTTCTGTAACTAAAATCATGTTTTCTTTACTAGTTGATTCTTCTCTCAGTGTATCGTTGCTATAGTAGTAGTTATAATAATAATAATAATAATAATAATAATAATAATATCAGCTGTATTTCTGCATTTTCAGATTTTGGTGACCTATTTGATGATGAAGACTTGTCCTAGCAGCATGCCAAGTATAGAACAGATAATAAACAGAAACTGTAAATAGGGATGTATGTAATAAATGTTGCCACATTGAGAACAGGACCGCATGCTTGCTTATTGATGAACTTCCAAAACTTTTTTGCTCTACAGAAAAAATGTTGTTTTTTTTTACACAGATATTGTGAAAGAGATCGAATTGAGTATTTATAAAAGTTATAAGAATCTAACTCATGTACTCTAAGAACAACTCCACAGTCTGGTGTAAGAACATGTGTGCAGTTTTTGCTACATCTATAATATAATGTAAGACTATAAAATGAAAAATAGCATGGTATTGCAGCTTCTGTTGCATACAGTGCTGCTTAATGAACAAAATTTCTTGATGGAAGACAATTCGCTACTTTTAAATCTTCAATTTCAAAGGTACAACAGGATGTCAGACAAGTTTCAGACCTCTTGCAATGCACTGTAACAAGACTGGGTCTGTATTATACTTATTAAAAATTAACAGACACCCCAAGTCCAGCTGGTCACTTTGAATATATGTTTATAAAACCTAGTACTTGGCTTATTGAACACCCAATTCACATTTGTCATCATATTCGCCAGGTCATTATAAGGATTTTTGTAACCTATCAATTGTGTTTGAATTTAATGAGTGCATATTATACCTTTGACACAGTTGGATAAAATAAAATCTGATAAAAAATATCATATCATGCTAATCTCATACATCTTTTTTCAACAACTCAAAATGTCAAAACAATAAAGGTTTAAGTCTATTTTTCAATCACAGCTTTCATTTTGAACTAATCTAAGACTTGGTTACTGTGATGTTGTACTATACAGTGTCCACCACTCAGCTGCATTCATAGGTTATAACTTGAACTCCAGAATCTGATTTTTGTTACTGTACAGAAAATATTTATTTTACACAGATATGGTTTAAAAGATTAAAGTGAGTATTCACAAAAGTTGTAAGAAGTCAAACCATGAAACTCAAAAAACAACTCCACTGCAAAAAAAATGTTTGCAGTTCTGCTACAAGATATCTACAATTGCCAATTATAAAATCAAATAACAAGACTATAAAATGAACATACAGCATGTTGCACCTTTGTTGCAGCAATAATGTACAATGCTACATACAATGGCTGACACCACTTAAAAACAATGCCACCAATTCCACAATTGTACACCACACGCACCAGGCCTGCAGGGTTCTAGCAATTTAATGTTGGTGCCAAGATTTAATCACTTTATTACTAGTAGGCAGGGAGACCATTAGGGAATTAGCAGCATTGCTTTTAAGGTGGGTCGGCCATATTTGATCCATGGACCATAGTAAGTCCATAGATCATGTTCTGAAAACATTCATTATTTGAATGGGCATATCTTGTTTGCAGAAGCTAATTTCAACTCCAAATGTCATAAAGCGCTCAGTTTTTTTTGTAAATCACACCTTTCATTTAAACTTAACTCGGAATGGTTACTGTAACATTACATACAGTGTTATCTTTTCAGCTGCATTCATATGAGTTAAAACTTAAACTGTTTCAGTCACAAATACTAGTAAAAGAGAATTTTTATCCAGTAATTTAGTTACCTCAATCATAAAAGGCTGTTTTGTACTCCACCCATTTAATACCTACCTGCAATCCAAGTATTTTTACAGTGTGGTTCAATACTGTAACGATAAAATCACAGTTTAATCCAATTGTTACACTAATTAAAATCTAAACAATTTCAGTAAATACAAATGCGAAACACAGCTTCCCATAAATCCTATTCTGTATTTCACCTGAAATTCATTGTTTCTTTGCATATTATGGTCCCATCTTGGATTAAAACTTGTACACAATCAGGATCTGGGCCCCGTTGCACCAACCGGTCGTAAGTGAGGCGTAGCAGTTGCGTATAATCACTTATATATATACTGTGTAGCAGTATATATATAAGTGATTATTAAATACATTATGTGTGTAGCCATGTACATGTACACGCATGTGTTCAAATTAAATCTTACCACTCATGTCGACACGCCTTAGCTCTCAGCAGTACGGTGTCTTTAATTCTTTTCACAAGTTTTGACAAACCATAACTAACCATAGTCATTTTTTATTCACATTTTATATCATTCATATTTTACTATATATAAACATAGAGACGAAAGCTTAAAATATCAACATTTTAAGGCTCATATAATATGTATTAGGTCTCTTGTATTTCTCAATCTCCAAGATGTAAGCTCGATTGAATTAAATGATACCTCACGGTGTAACCATAGATTAAAAAAAGGTCATGAAATTGTAGTAAAATTATAAAAAGAAAGCAATGCTGGCTTTTTTTGATTATTTTCAGACTCAAATGTTCCAATAACAAATGTGAAAGTGTTCAAATCCATTAATAGAAATACATACTGCCTCCAACGCGTTTTTCTCATTTACAACAGCATACTATAATAGCATACATAGCATACTATAATAATATTTTGATTCGGAATATATTTACGATTTTATTGCTATATATCCAAGGCAACAGCAAAGTTAACGTATTTTAACGTTCTTATTTCTAAATCAAAATGGAATAATGTAGCTCATGAATTTCTCCGTCACTGAAATGCTCCTTTTGTGTTTATTTATGTCATCATTCCATTATGACTGCAGCTGAGAACTCCTCATTTGCCCAATTATACCATCCACGTATTGTTGGCCAGTGGCGCAACGGAGCGTTACTCGGGCGTAGTTACGACGATCAGTTTTTGTCTTGGTGCAACGGGCGTAAGCAGGGAGAGTAAACCTGGCGCACGGACGCCAGGCGTTGCTGTTTACGACAGTCGTAGCCGAGTAAATTTACGCCCTGTTGGTGCAACCGGGCCCTGGAGAATATGACCCTGTTTACATTGAGCAATATACTTGAGTTACACAGTCTATAATGGTACACTATCAGAGACTGACGACTTAAAAACCTGGACCCAGTTTCCCTGACTAAGAACTTAATTACCAAGGTTACATGGTCACATGTTGCCCTATCATGAGCAGTGTAACAGCACTCTCATGGAAATCCTAGTCAACTAAACCTGCGGGGAACTGACTCGAGTTTCTTTTTGTGAAACTGGGGCCTGGATATTTTGTAAGAGAGGCATCAAACCCTGTATATGACATCGCCAATTAATCAACTGGGAAGAAAAAGGATGCTGACTCTCATATAAAAAATGAAATAAGTAATTAAAAATGATCACAACAGAAATTCTATTACTGTTTTTATACTAATGCTTATAAATCAAAGTCATTACCATCTTTTGCTTTTCTAAAGGTAACTAGTCTGTTCTCAATTTTTTTTTCTTAATTTGCAATTTATTTAATGATTATAAAGTTAAATGATTTATCTGCTACACATGCCGTCAACTTGTGCTTGTCATTGGCAAAACTTGTTTCATCCTGAGGCAAAAAATTGCCCTACAGTATAAGAGTTAAATAAGAGGGAGAAAAAGGTTTTTTTAAAGTGGTACATGTAACTCATTGCCAGTCTTTATAGTGAATGTGGCAGTTGATCCAAACACACGCACTCCACTTTTTGAGCCTTGATAATATGGCGTAACCTTAACACGGTAAGTTGACCCAGGTCTCAACTGACCGCAAGCAGGGTCCCGTAAAGGACCTGGTTGGACCTTAATTTCTTGACCACTGTCCTGCTGTTCTTCCCTTGCCTGGTCATTTTTTACTGGACCTTTCCCCCTTTGGCTGATCTCAGTTTTCTGCTGTTTTAAGGCATTTTTTCCCTTCTCCCTGTGATCATCTGCTTGGCCCCCATGTTTCAACTGACTCGACTTGTGTGGTTTCATCCTTTGTTGACTGCTGATCTGTCGTTCATTCTGTGGTGAGCAGGTGCCCTCTTGACCAGTCACTGATTGATCATTGTCCGATTGTCCACTACCAAGCTGACGTGTGCTCCCTTGTCCACTCTCTGTCTGACTTTTGTCCACTTCTTTGGCACCAAGTCCAGTGGTCTCTTTTCGCCCAAGAACGAAAAGTTGTTTATTTCCACATACAAAAAGAGTGTCATTGATGGTCAGCTCTTTTGAGAAAGGCACTTCTGTGTACACTTCAGAGTTGTCATCATTTGCCACTTCAGCACGGAAATACGTCGTTCTTTGCATAAGGCTGAGGTTTTCTTCCCTGGGTGGTAAAATGAAGTAGCTGCAGGGAAACAGGCGCTTAAAATGAAGTTCAAAATCCGAGATGACAAAGGTCTCCTGCCTAAGACGTACCGGCTCTGGAGCTGTAGGAAGCATTAACCATAAACTTTAATCAATTTGAAGAACATGAATTAGTTGTTCTCAACCCTCCCCCCCCCCAAAAAAAAAAAAAATTATATATATAGGTATATAAATAAATAAATGAATAAATAAATAAAATGTTTGGTTTGTAGCACTTACAAATATTGAATTAATTTTGAAATCTTATCTGGCTTGCTATGAGAAAGCATATTGTTTTGATTGTTTAAAAATAAAATCTTGACTAAGTAAAATAGTAGAAAAGGTGAGACATCTGAAAAAATCTAGTAATTTTGATAGGCTACATGGGGAGACACATGTACAATTAAATTTACATACCCCAGTAAATATTTAAATAAAAACATCCCCTTATTTTAAAAGCCACGATTAGAAAACTGATAAAAATAAGGCAAAAATCCATCAAATGACTGGTTTCTTTCTCAGGGGCGGATTTAGGCAGTCTTCTGGGTCTTCCGGAAGATGGTCAGATTTTCAAGTTTACATTGATGGGTATCTAATTTTTTCTGTCGGAAGACGGTCAGAAAATGGAAGATGGATCAACAAAGATAATTTGGAAGACTGTCAGAAAATAACTCTGGATCCGTCCCTGTTTCTGTACCTTGAAATAGTGAACTGATTTCCTTGTTTATAGGCTGGAGAATTCCTCTGTCTGCAGTTGGTTTATCTATGGGTGGTAACTGTAAATCCTCTGCTACACAGCCCTCTGGTGTAAACTGTTGCATCTTGTCTAGTTCTTTTAGTGTTCCCAGAACTTCATCTGCCCTATTAAAATACATAGAGAAACATCAGATTTTAAAAGACAACTGTCCAGAGTCTTTTTTCTACCTTTTCTGTTCTTCATGAAGTCTGCATCACAATAAAATACCATTCAAAATAAAAAGCATTTCCAGTTCCTTTTGTATTAGTCTTCAAAATCTTATTGTGAAAATTTAGAAAAATAGGAATGCATAAACTAAAGAATGGTGAAAAAGATGTACTAGTAAACAAGCAAACAGAAAAACAAAATATTTTCTGATAACACATGAATGATAACTTTTAACCACTGTGTAGATTAGCTATCCAGTAGCATTTTGCAAAAATTAAGTTTTTAAAATATATTATCGAACTTAGAATGTAGTCTTATTGGCTACATTGCATTGATAACAAAAAGATTGCTGTTTGGGATTATTTCCAAATTATACTTACCGCTTTAACATGGCAGTTCCTTCCTGAAATTGTATCATTCAGATGGTAAAGTGTAATTCAAGTCAAAATTTATAGATATTTGGATAAATAAATAAATACATAAATAAATAAATAAAATGAAATATACCAGCTAGGTTTTCCTCTTACCGTTAAAAATTGGGGAAAAAATGACAACATTCAATAACATTTATATGACACACTATGAGCAAATGTACAAAGATACTGACTGTGAGGATGTGCTTGCTATTTCTCTCCTTGCCAATGTTAACCAAACTTTCATCCATGTCTTTCACTTCTTCTGTTGCTTTAAAATATTTTTCTAACATCTGGTCCAGCTTATCTTCCGCCATATCTGCTTCCTGAAGGAAAAAATAGGTTAGAAAAAAAATTAATTTTATTAAAATTAATCTCAATCACAACACATGCCAGCTATTGTTAGTGTTCAGTTGGTACACCAGGCAAAACATTTTTATGTTCTTGTTTTATTTGCCCTTACGCTTTTGCTCTCAACATGGCTTAGTGTCGCTTCTCTGCCATATAAACTATTACTGACCATTGGGCAACTTTCCAGTTCTCACAACTGGCTATAATTGAAGCAGCTGGTTTTGATTGTACTGGGCACTGGTCAGATTACATGACCTGGTAATTTATGCTATGAAAATTGGGGTGCAGTAATGAAGGCCTCCCAGCTGCTCTCTTGTGTGAGTTTCAAATACCATTTAGTTTTTAACATTTAGTTTTAACAGGGCACTTAATTTGGCCCATGAGTCCTGTGTTTCAGAGTTCACCCACCACCTGTTAAAAGTATCTGATATAGACCCCATTCCCATACCTAGATTGATCTAGAAGGATTGACCCATTTCGAAGGGGATTCTTGCTATACTGCATTCGGATTAAGTGGCTTAAATCTCTGGTACACTTACTGAAGCTGCTAAACAACAGTTAATTATCCCCTAACAGCTTCAGTAGGCGTGCCAGACATCAGAGCTGCTTAAGCTGAATGTAATTTAGCGAGAAACCCCTTTTAGATGGGTCGATCATGCTAGATCGATCTAGGTATGGGAATGGGGTCATAGAGGTGTGTGACATGTGTGACCTTTGACCTATGAAACTCAGGGCGTGCCCATGGGGACTTGCTGTGAATTACCTCATCAATCTGAAGAAGAAGGCTTTTTTCGAATCTTTCTAAAACATGGTAAAGAGATGCAAAGTGGCCATTGACCTTTTCACATGCTGCATTTTTCTTCATCTGCAAAAGAAAAATTTCAAATTTTCAAAAATAATGCTGCACTTCATATATCATTAACTGTCTACTATGCATTTTCATTTTACATATTTTTATTTTGTTTGTAATATTTTCTTGTCTTATGGCTTTGTAGACAAAGTTAAATCAAATGGAGGATAATTATTCAAAAATAAACATTTTCTATCACTTGATAAAAATCAAAGCTTTCTTAGTTTGTGATTTTTTGAGGTTCTAAGTATCTATTAAGTCCATTACAAATGCCTACAGTACTTTATATGGTAATTACAGTTATTATACTCATATAATTCAAAGTAAATATATTAATCATTAAGCTACAACAGAAAATAATATCATTCACTCACTATGATTTTTCCTTTCTCAACTAAAATTTTGCTGGGAAAATCTGCTAATGGCTCCAAGGCGTGCTGTACCTGGTCAAATCCCAATTCAGCTTTCTCCTGAAATATGAAAAGTTTAAGAGTTTTACATTTGAAGTTTGGACTTGTGCATAGTACTTCATGTACCACAGTCAGATCCAATTAATTTCCCCTTTTCCCAAAAAGGGGAAAATCTTTTCTGGTCTTAAAATATCACGTTTCATATATTTTTGGAATTTTTCATTAACTTGACCTCTGCATTCCTAGAGTGGGGATGGTGAGGAGGAGAAAAAAAATTCTATCAAAAAAGAGTTCTGTTATTAGTAACTATTAAACTGAACATGCTGCTGTTTTTTTTTTTTTGTTTGTTTTTTTTTTCAAATATTTCAGGCTCACAACTATCATTTTACATAGATCAATCCAACTCTGCAGGGACTTTCGCTGAATACAATCAGACTGACAGATAAAGATTCCTTTTCGTTTCCAGTGTACGGGTATAATCACCATTTTTTTTTTTTTTTTTTTTTTTTTTTTGTATTCTACTCAATGCCAGGAGAAGGTGTGTTAATTTCTGTAAGATCCAAGATAGAAATGATTTAAATGATTTCTATATGCAATCTGAAATACATTTCTGGCAATTTACAAAATCAACTTTAATTATAATTATGATAATGACAAAAACAGTGAAGGTACATACCTTCATTTCAACAGCTGCATCTTGTAATTTGATTACATTGTGAAATTTGTGACGACCAAAATTGGCACATTCGGTACAGCAGTGCAGACAGCAGTGTGTACATATTAACTCCAGGCGCCGGTTATGGCTCGAACAGACATATTTATCAGGCGGATTATTTTCGATATTGAGGAGCAAGTGGTCAGCATACTTCCCTCTGTTGGGATGCAACTCTTTAGCACAGCTTTCGCAGTAGAAAAAGCAGCAACTTTCACATAAGACAGTGGCTCTGTCTGGTGGCAGTTTTGAACAAAAGTGACAGAAGTAAGTGGCACCATCTGTTACGTCTTCTGCCTCACAAGTTTCATCAGTTTGTTTCCCAGAGGTAGATGGCTCCACAGTTTCATTTACTTCACATTTCTGAGGGTTGCTTGGAGCATTATTTTCATCCCTTGTGTCAGCTAGAGGGTTGAGCTCATCTTTCAGTGGACTGGAAGGCTTCTCAATCTCGGTCTCCTTATTTCTTTCCATGTTAGGGCTATATGACATGTGGTTGAACTACACATATATTAAATACTGTGCCAGGTCCTTTTTCTTCAAGAACAGATACTCAGGGAATTATAAAGCTGTACGTAGAATTTTTGTGATTCTGAGCACTTCTTGTTGTTGAAATTGTACCAGTTAGGTCGTTCTGAAGATGGTGTCTATACCCCCGAGTCTCTTATTTCCTTGTTCTCCTGTTTTAAGTTGAAATACAAGTATAGTGAACTATAAATCTTCAATTAAATTTCACTCAGGAATAGCTAGTGTACTACAGTACAGTGCGTACTAGTAAACTATATACTTACTCCCTCCAAAGTCCTGTACAGAACCCCACCCCCACCCCCGTAGTCACAAATATTTAATGTTTCTCTTTCAACTGTTAACCTTTAACTTGTATTTGTCGCAATCATTCTACTCTTCAACTCTGGAACCTATATATTTAGATCAATGTCGGGTGGCACAAGTCCTATAGCTACATGTCATGTACATATGTAGCTGGTACAAAAGTAGAAGATATCCAAACATTTTATGTAGATGCTTCTATAGATGGTTATACCTGCACATGAATTGGAAACACTGCTATCACCAGAAAACAAAAAGGCACCCCTGTCAAAATAATCGGTATCAGCTTCAGTTTGAAACCGAAAGTGCAAAGCTTCCTAGAAAAACACTGGGTGTCCAAGACAGCCAAGACAGGACAAATCCAACGTTATATTTTTATGTTATCGTTTTCTTGTGTATTCTGTTGAATGGCTACTTTGAAGAAAGCTACTTTGTGCTCGTATTCTGTATGTTTTGTTAATGGAAACAAAACGACCGAAACGGGCCTCTATACTACGTTAATTTTAATAAAAATCACGTTAGATGGCGCTCTTACATGTAACTTCGACGCTGGCTCTGTTATCTGTTTTTCTATATATATAATGTAGTACCGCTCATTTTCATATTTAGAACACATTTAGTATTTATGCTTCTTCTGTCAAATAATAATAATAATAATAATAATAATTATTATTATTATTATTATTATTATTATTATTATTATTATTATTTATAACTTTTTTCGTAAGTCTTAGCCTTAGTCTACATTTGGTCGGTACAATCGCTAAGAATAATTCATCAGGAAAACTGAGATAGAACGATTTTAAATAAATACATAGAAAAATATCCTCAGCGTAGAAATGTAAGCCTATACTTTTGGTAAAATACAGAGATATTGTATACACATTTGTAAATGAATTTTTTTTGAGAAATTTGCACCATGCACTAATACTGATCTTGTTTCTACTTATATCTCATGAAGGAGGGGTGGATCCAGGACTCTTTGAAGGGGGGGGGGCGGTTTTTAGGAATAACGGGTCGCGGATGGGAAGCCAAACCTGGCCCCCTCTTCTCCCCTGTCGTGGGGTTTCGGGGCCCGCTGGAGGTATTTTAGAGGGCGAACGGTGCCATTTGGTACGTGTAAATAGAACTATGATTCAGCTAGTCAAATTCTAATTTCAAGAGGTGTGATCTTTTTCAGAAAACGAAGGGGGTGGGGGGGTCAAGACCCCCCTTCCCAAACCCGCCACTGTATAGTCATGTCATCATCATCAATATCAGTCATGTAATCAGGGGCGGATCCAGGATTATTTGAAGGGAGGGTCCGGAACGACAGGCCTCGGATGCGAAGCCGACCATTGCCACCTTGTTGTGCCCTTTGGTACAGTTTAGAACTATGATTAAGCTAGTCAAAATGCTAATTTCAGGAGGGGAATATTGGTGTGATATGTTTTTCAAAAAACCGACCCCCCCCCCCCCTCTAAATCCGCCACTGTGTAATGTATTTCTTACATGAGAATAAGCGAAAATGGGTAAAAAAACTAAGAAGACATCATCTGAAATACATCGTTTGGACGTATTAAATACAACAATCTGACTATGAATATCTTGAAAAGGTCGAGAAAACATCCTTTAAAAGACTTGGGGGGTTTAAATTAACGGGGAACTGATAAACTCCTTTCAATGAAAAACGGATGAAACCATAATATATAAGCGTACCAAAGAGATTAAGTCTTGATTTTTCCTTATGAACAGTTTCAGGTCATATCAATCAGTTTGTAAAGAACGTGAGTCCTACATGTAGCATGATACGGATTGCGTCCTTTCTATATTGACAAATTTGGTAAACAGAATCCTTCAAATAAACTTTCATTTCTTAATTTATGAAATAAGTAGGAGTGCTTTTCTCATTGAATATTGTGCTGGAAGTGAAAGGCAAAAAACTATCGGCAGATATTTCCTCTTTCTTTAGAAATCGTAGAATATCATTTTCTATTGATTACACACCATCACAGAGCGCGCTCTTTAGTCGCATATTAGGCCTATGTGTAAAAATCCACTCAATCACCTCAATGACCTTAAATGACAAACAAAAAGACATATTGATAAATTGGAATTTTATAGTCTCCTATATACCTTGCATTTAACTTGGGGGATTCTCCTTGGTAAGCAGATTCATATTCGCATTCGTTTTCGCTGAAGTTGATTTTTTAAACTCACTACGGTCGACGGCTATTTGCCTGTATGGCTGAGAAGAAAAGCAGTGAGACGTGCGGAAAATAAAACTTGTGTTTTTCATCCAAGCGATTGATTCAATCGTTTTCAAACCAATCAATGTGACATACGAGCGTGGATTGGCTCATTACCTCCGCCAAGGAGGTTATGTTTTTTATTATTATTTTAACAGCACAAGATCTACATCGCGTTCCAGAGTCGGAAGTCTTTGCGTTGGATGCAAAAGGTCAAAACTTAATAGATTGATAGATTGATGATTCTTACAAGTTAAAAGCTACTGTGGTGTACCATGTCTAAAAGTCATATTTTTTACGCCTAATATGTTCTTATAAAACTACTAATATTTCTAAATTCATACAAAAAAATACAACCTCAAATAAATAAATGAATAAATAAATACAAGGATAATAATTTAATAAAAACACCTGATGCCAATATTTCCTTCTGGCATGTTAGAAAAAATGATACAAAACATTCAACCCAAGAGTAGGGACGGATCGAGGATGATTCCTGACGAGATAAAAATCGTCTTTTTTTTTCTCGAGGAAAATTAGATTTGGGACAGAAATCCCGGAAATCTGTGATGATGTTAAGCTCTGGGTCGGAAATAGCTCCGGTGTGAAGTGTCACAAATGTAGGATTAAGAAGAAGTATAGACTCACAAGTAAAAACCTCATACCACGAGCCTTATAATATCCAAGAAGTTATAACTTCTTGTATTATCACACTAGACTACCGAAAGAAAACAAATGGTGATATATTTTAAGGAATATGATAAAATGGTCTCTAGACAGTCTCGTGCCTAGTGATAAAAAAAAAAAAACGTTCAATGAAAATGATTAATCATAAATGGTGTAGTAAAGACCAAGGAAGTAGATTTGGAGGGGGGGTATTGCTTTGATGGAAGAAAAGTTTATTTCAAAATAGAAAAATATTGCCCCTTTTGCTTCAATACTGATATTAACACGCCAAAGTATACTTTTATGAAAGAAAAACTAAGTCAAAATTCAACTTTGCTTCAGTTAATTTCAATTGTTTAATTATCACCATACCTTCTAATATGATTAAAAATAAAAATTCAACAACAATCAAGCCATATAGTCAACTTTAAACTACTATCCATTTTTAAGACGCTCTGAGGGGATTGATTGGTTACCCTGCTGATAAGCTTGGACATAATAATTCGTTATTATGTCCAAGTGATAAGGTAGGCCCTATAAAATGGCAGGACCGTAAAGGGATGCATGGGAAAGGGAATTGGGGGACCCGTTGAAAGTCTAATGTAGCTAGCCTTTGTTTTCTGCTTTGAGTACACCAATTCAAGTTGTTTTATCAATAGTAGGCCTTACACTATCCAACTTACATAATTCTTACTTTTACACATTTTAAGAAGAAAATAGATAGGGCCTACATATGTAGGCTACAACACGCCGACGACACGCCAGTGACGCCGTAACCATCGCTCTTACTTCGCAGCTGAAAGTCGCTGTGGGCCCGACGATTTCGTGATTTCGTGCTATTTAACACTTAATAGGACTTCAGATAAATTAAAGATATAGGCCCTACCTAAGAGAATCTTTTTCAAAAAAACACCTAGGGTTAACGGAGGTTAATGTAGGCCCTACAACATGAATAGACGATACAGTCATGAGAGATTTTAGATCCAAGGTGGAAGTCGTGATCAACTGCTAGTTTAATCAACACTGAATCAATTTAATCACCGGAACACACCCGCGGGTTTAGAATATTTGGGCCAGCCTCGAGGGTCGCACCTGAACGGTCGTAACACGCATGCGCACCTGAAACGTTTGGAGCGTGCACGTGACTGTGGTGTTCCAGACCGTTACGCAACATCATCCGTTGATACTGCATCCCTAATTCTACAATTTACAAAATTGTTCTAGAATTTGACAAGACAATAATGCGCTATTATTTTGATGTTTTTAAATTGCTCAGTTTTTCGATGAATTTTATTCCTCCACATTATACAGCCTTGCAGGAAAGACCGACCAAATAGTTTGTGGTCGTGTGAGACCTAACACGTGACTGTTTCATGACATTATAATATCAATGACGGCTATACGTCGATTACATAGTGCGAGAGTTCAAGACATTGACTAGCTTTAGAGTGACCGTTTCACAAGACCAGTTAACATTTACTTAAAAACAACATTTTGCATTGGAGGAAGCAAGGACTTGAGACGTGAATTTTTTCGATCTTGAACGCCGAAAAAATACGCCAAGTACTAGTTGCTGCCATGATGACGGAATTGACCTAGTTTTATCTTCTCAGGTGGGCTAAAGTTTTTGTTTCGGTAATATTTACAGTTGTATGTTTATTAGTATAGTCCGACTATATGGTTTTTACTTAGAATTACGTTTTTGGGATTTAATATACGGAAACTGCTGTGAATATTCAGCATCTGGAAACGGGTTTGCTTGATAACTAATGTCGATGGGTGCATTTGTAGAGTTGCCATATTGCCTTCTGTTGTTTATAAATAATGGTTTGTAGTAGTCTAGACACAACGAGTAAATTGTGAAATGTACTGACTGCTGTAAGGCATGAAATAGACTACCAGTAGAATAAGTTAACTTGATGAATCGCATCCTTCTACACAAAGGTTAAATACCAAGTCTTAACCCTTCTTTTAGTAATTAATGCATGGTGCTTTATTTTGGTCTGTCTGACCACAAATTTTAACGTCCACAAGTGCCCACAAGCATAATATGATTGGAAACCAGTTTATATATATATATATATATATATATATATATATATATATATATATATATATATAATTTTAAGGTATTTTAAGTTAGAAAGCAGCATAAAGTGCCCTAATATGTAGGCCTTCTAAATGCTAACGAAGAGAAAGATTGTGTCTTAAAGCATTGACGAGCGACCACAAGCATCCACAGACATAGAATAGTAGAAAGACCAACAGTTAAACATAAAATGGTTAAGAAATCTGCTGATTAATAAATATTAAGCCTATGAAAGCTCACAGTGACTGCATGATTAAAGAAATAAATGGAATAAAGCAGATAAAAGCTTTTGGATTTGGATCCAATTGAGTGTTTCTATAATCTATGAAAAAATAAGCTAGACAGATCTCCTTGTGATTTATTCATTAACACGTCGCTATGTCCTTGTATTGTTCCTCTCCCACAATATTACTATAATTTTCCACACCTTCACTACATGGCATTGTTACTACCCACTGGTGAAGATACATTTAAACACACTAACTAAAAACTCTAACTAAAAACCAAGGCAAGAAAGTGGCAAATATTTTTGTCATACAAAAAACTAATGATAGTTCGCAACAGTTTGGAGAAGAATTGGTGCATTTTAGTAACATTTGCAAGGGCTTATTGATGCTAACTAAATCATAATTTTGCAAGGGGGAGTTATGATGCAGTTCTAAGAGTAAGGATGCAATTAAATAAATAAATAAATAAATAAATAAGTAAAATCTAAAAAAAAACAATCTCAGTCCTACACAACTACCATACTCGGCACCAAATGATCTTGAATTCACTGGTATATCGGACCAAACTACCCAATTTCGAGGTGTGCATCAATATGCGCTTCGAAGTATCATTCTGAAGCCGCTCTTGCCTAGTATGCAATGTGATAGTGATGATTTTAAGCAGGATTGGAAAGTAGTGCATCTCATCTCAAAATGCGTTCTAGGGTATGATACTGTGAAATGCGTACTGACACACACCTTGAAAACGGGTAGTGTGATCCGATCTACTGGCGAATTCGGGATCATTTGGTGCCAGGTCTGGTAGTTATATACATCTAACAAAAATAACAAAAAAAAGTATATATACATATATATATGCTACACATTTGGGAAGTTCATACTTCACCTTATACTTGCTTAAAATAAGTTTTCTTCATTGATTTGAATAACAACATTAATACCACGTCATTATATTAAATTTTACTATACTATATATCTAGAGAAATAATTGGTATAAATTAACACATTGATTAGTCACCTAGATAGATGAACTTACCAGAGTCTACTCTGACTCTTTATGTAGCATATGACTAACGTTGACTTAATAGGCCGTCAGTATGAAGTTGGGTGCTAAGGCGAGGCAAATTTTGTGTGTATTGTATATTTTTGATCCAATTTGTGTACTTGTGTGACCTCTGAGACACACTAGTAGTCAGTTGTATTATTATTGTTAGACGTAAATAATAAGGAAATGGTAAAAAAAAGTAAAATTTTACCTTTAATATTTGTTTGAGTCTAGGGCAAGGGAAAAATGTTTTTATACATATATGTATAAAAGTTGAAGCAATAATAACTCTTCCTCTGAGATTCAAAATTACGCAAGAAATACATTCTAAACAACACATGGAAATATATTATATTGCATTTCACCACTTAAACAGCTGTTATTGTAGTAAAATTAAAAACTGTGCTTGTCAATAGGGCTTTCGGTGCCTTTCTTCCCGGTCGTCAAGGCATCCGTTGCCAAGGATATTGGCGCATCACACGGATTCTCGCTTGCATTTGAGACCAAAATAACATGTGGCGGGATAAGACATAGCAGGCGCATTACACAATCCTCAGACGTAAGTTGTGAGTTTTTGTACAGTGTGTTGGATAACGAAAAGCCCAGAACTGCACAGGTTTTAGATATACATGCATACTGAGCAATAAGATGATTTATCGTATGAATCTTATTTTATTGTAATAAACTGTTGTTGTTGTCTACTTTTCCCACGGTTTTAAGTAGGTCATCAGAAAACCCCGCTCGACTATGCCGTGTCAGAGAGTGCTCCGTCAGTTTAAATATCTTAAGAAAATTTAACAAAAAACCAAGCGTTTAGGAAAAAAACCCTGGACTAACTTTGAATGCAGGAATGGGGTCGTTGACCATTGGTAAGTGCGGGAAAATTGCCCTTTACGCCAGGAAAATCCAATTTTTGGCCAAAACGAAGAGTTATTATGACTTTACTAAGACACTTGTGGTTGCAATGTGAAAATTAGCTTGCTTCACAGGTTTATTGAGCTTTTATGGTGAGAGATTGTATTTGACAAGATTTATGCAGTCGTGGTATTGGATGAAAAGTTATACATTTCAAATTTTGACAAGATTCCTCCATAACTATCACCCACTTTTGTACAGAATGGTGAATCCCTCTATACTGGTTATGAAATATAGTTTGAGGACATTTTGGGATAAACATACTGTCTACGTTTTGCACATGTATAGCTTGGGGCTGTAGATTTGGAAACTCTTGTGGCCTGAGAGGCCATTGGGCTAAACTTTTTTTTTTTTTTTGGGGGGGGGGGGGGGCACTATTTCCATTTTCACCGTCTATAAATGAAATATATGACTGCCCAAAAATAGAAAGTGTAGAAAGGTGAGCTTGTGTTTGAAACGCAGGCGTCCATTTCTCACAGTCATAAACAAATATTGATTTACATTCAGTAGGACTTACATTGGGTAACTCCTAGAAGCACGTGCTGTGGCATATGAATTCCTGGCTGCCGCTGGGCTGACATTTTTATCAAATGAATATTTTGTCTTTAAACCATTGTGGCCTTTTATATGTAAATTTCATTTTTGTTGACTTGAAGTTTTCAGTGGGTACAAAGCGAACAAGTGTCGTAATATAAATGCAAGATAAGACTTATGGCCATCTTCTCCATTGTTGTTTGTGCTGCTTTTGTGCTTCCACCCTTTTTTTCTAAGCCAACCTGCTAAGAAAAAAAGAAGAAAATAATGGTAATATCTATTTCTCAACAACATTGAATTAACATATTTTCAAATCCTATGGAGTTTTATGTGAAAAAGAATTATTTGTTCTCCATTTACTATTGGTAAGTTATTTCCATCCTTTGGATGATTCTCCTGCTAATGGGCTGGGCAATGGTTCAGTGAGGCCTTGCATTCATATGATTGATCTCCACAATCCAGCTGTCAATTCTGAAGATCATTATATAGATACATTCTAAAGGTACCAGTTGTTTCTGTGTTATAAGTACTTAGTACTGGGCTTTTGTAGGCTTAAGGGAACTGTAAGCATTTGCCAAAAACTCCTTATTTACTGCCTTGCATACATTCTTTTTTCAATAATAGAGAAATCTTTTTTAGTGTTAAGCACCCTTAAGCAAGAAGTAAAGTCAGGAAAACAGATGGAAGTCTTTAGATAAAATATAGATATCAGGGTGACATTATGAACCTCATTACTTAGCTAAATGGTACAAACAACTTCCAGTTCAGGCACAGGATCAGGTTGAGGAAACATTTTTGAGTAGGAGGAAAACCCCTTTTTCTCTCGTAAAATTTGATTTGGCACAAAAAGAAAATCCTTGATAGGCTACTGGTACCTGTAGTCAATCTTGTGATGCACATGGACCAGTGTTAAATTTTGGTCAGATTGTTCACTTACTATAGTATCTTGCCTTGAAGTCTACTAGTAATTGGAAAGTCCTCAAAATAGGGTGGATGTCATTTTTTTCCTGTGGGGGAGTCTGCATGATGTCTTTTATTGCTGTTGGCTGTTGACGTAAAACAAGCGCTCTTTTTCCTGGGAATTAAGACAGCAGTTGCTGTCATGTGATCTCCAGGAAAAGTTTTCCATTTTCATAAGCATAATACCTGATATCCTGTGATGGTTAAAACGAAATCAGATTCTGCATGAAGGAAACCGTGAAACCAGCAATTTCATCAAATTGTAGCATGGGGATATTGCTAGAAATAATGAGAAGGCTTGTAATTGGACCAATGGGAGTAGTTCCTCTAGGTTACATGCTCGTGGAAACATCATATCTTTAAAAATGAATTCATAATAATTATAGACCAGGTATTATGTGATTATTTGCTGGCAGGTTTTTCACATTTTGTGGAAATTGTTTGCTTTGGCAAGACTCCCAATTATTGTGGTAGCCAAATCTGTCCGTTTGTCTGCATGTCTGCATGTCTCTCTGCCTGTCTGTCTGCATTCCTGCCCTTCTGCCTGCCTGTCTGTCTGCCTGTATGTCTGCCTACCTGATGTCTGTCTGCCTGTCTGTCTGCATCCCTGCGCTTCTGCCTGTCTGCCTGTATGTCTGCCTACCTGATGTCTGTCTGCCTGTATGTCTGCCTACTAGATGTCTGTCTGCCTGTCTGTCTGCATCCCTGCGCTTCTGCCTGTCTGCCTGTATGTCTGTCTACCTTGTGTCTGTCTGCCTGTCTGTCTGTATCTCTGCCTGTCTGCCTGCCTGCCTGTCTGTCTGTCTGCATCCCTGCCCTTCTGCCTGTCTGTCTGCATTCCTG